TTAGGCCTTGAGATTATCGAGCCAACTTTCGTTGTCTGACTTCGGCCACAGAGAAATAATTTTATCCAGCTCAAGAGAGGGTCACATATCCCTAGTGAGCATAATCTGCTGACTAGCAGATTATGGGGAACTCTGTCGAAGGCTTTTGTTATATCGAAATATAGTACAATTACTAGTTCTCTGTTGTCCCTACTTTGTGTAACTTCGTTGAAAAAGTTTATGTGACAGGTCACACATGGTCTCTTTTTGAGAAATCCGTGTTGTGATGGATTGATAAGTTCATGTTCTAGCAAGTTGTCTGACACTTGGTCTTTAACCACTTTCTCCATTATTCGGGATATTACCGGTGTTATATTGATAGGTCTATAGTTGCATACACTGGTTTTGGCCCCTGATTTGTGCTTAGGTAATATGTATGTGGTTTCCCACACTTCAGGATAAGTTCCAGTTTCCAACGAGAGTAAATATTCTAAGTAACAAGACTACCATTTCCGTGCTACCATTTTTGTATATGACAGATGGTATGTCGTCTGTTCCAGCACTACCACTAGACTTCAAAGTCTTAATCGCTGAGTCTATATTTTGTATATTAAAGTCTATTTCGCTTAATTTGTGGTTACTTTTGCAGGTCATTTGGAAATTTTGGGTCGGGTGCACTCTAGCGTCATTGCAAAACCACTCATTGGGGAGTTCACTTATGACCTGGGGATCATTGTATATTATACCCTTATGTTCCAAGCTGCTTGCAGTATTGTCTTTACTGCTTTTTAGACGTTTCTGCAATATCCTACAAAGTTGCTGAGTTTTGGAGTTACCCACAAGCGCTTTATTTTCTTCAAGTTGCGACATCATTTTGTGTTTATCTTCAAGCCGTTTAAGAGTTTCATGTATTTGGTTTAACGCATTAAATTCCTTAAATACATAGTATTTCCTTTTCAATTTCTTTAGTTTTAGTCGCGTTTTGCGGTCTATAAATGGAGTTGGTGTTTTAGAGCAGATTTTAGGGGCGCGATTGTGTCTCTTGCTGAGCCAATTGTTTTGTAGAAAATATCGAGTGATACTTCTAAGTTATTGTTAATGAAGTATTCTTCCCAGTCAGAACTTCTCAACAGATCTGATAAGAATTCCCAATCGGCATTCTTATAGTCCCTATATTGACAGTGCACAGGGGAATTTTTAGGTGTGTGTTTAGTTGTTAGTCGGAGGGGTAGCATGCAGTACAATATGTTGTGATCACTGTTATCAAGTTTGTTTCCTACCTCTATCGAGATGGGCTCTATTTCATGACAAAGGATTAAGTCAAGAGTGTTTTCATTTCTTGTAGGGAGTGGTACGCACCGCTTCCATCCGCCTACGTCTATGCTTAGCAATGCTTAGCTCTAGTCTCGTGAGATTGCTTTCTAAGTGGGCTTGTTTCAGATGGTCAATGCCAGCAGCGTCTTCGCGGTTTTTCTTGTCTAGGACCAAAGATTTATCCATGGGTTTAATGACTTTATTTGGTCCGCCGTATGGAGAAGTTTTCGAACATGAGGGAACAAAGGCGTCTACGGACTGTGGTCAAGGGGGAAGAAGTTTAGCTGAACGCATCGCGTTTGTAAGCCTGGTGACGTATGAGGCAAGATCTACCGCTGATGGGAAACCAGAGGGAGAAACAAACTCACTTGGCAATCGTAGTGCTGTGTCATATACTAGTTGGTCAGCAGCATAGACAGCATCAGTTTTCAGGGCATTGCGTGTGCCTAAGAGAACTAACGGCAGTAATTCAGTCCAATGTGCACTGTTTGCAGCTGATAACCCACCCTTCAAATGTCGGTGTAGAGGTTCTACTATACCACTAGATTGAGGATGGTAGACTGTTGTCCTAGAATGCTTAAACACCTAGGATTTTAGTCAAGGCGAAGAATGAGCCGCTCTCGAATTTAGGCCGGCCATCAGTTGCTGTGGGGGATGGGCAACCAAAACTTGCTATCTATCGTTTGACAAAGACGCATGCGACTGTTTCTGCAGATACATCCTTGAGGAGGTACTGCTTCGGGCCACCTTGCATAACGGTCGATGTAGGTTAAGATATAGACATATCCATTGGATTCTAGAAGAGGGCCAAACAGATCTACGAAACAAGCATCAGGGATAAGAGAGATGCCAACTGGGCTTGTGGTTTTTCTTACTGCCTTGCACTTTTGGCACGTGTGAGCCCATTCTCTTGCTTCTTTGTTTATACCAGGCCAACGGTAGTTTGAATACCTGGGTCGGATAAGCCATGCAACGTATTGAAGACGTTACGGCGATGATTTTTAGGTACGACGCGGCGAGGAGTACTCGTGGAAATGTCTGCTTTTTGAAGACGAGCCAGTTTCGCAAGGTCTATGCCATCTATTTGGGTGAGAGAACAAATGCGCTACAAGGCATCTGCTACAGTGCTGACACCACGGATACATGGCGAATATCGGAAGTAAAATGCTAAGCGTAGTCCAGCTGTCGTGATACTCTAGATGAATACCTATCGGATCTTGAGTTCAGAGAGTACCTTTGTGGTCAGTGAAAATTATAAATCTACGACCTCCACTGAATGTCAGAAGTGGCATATAGTGTAGTATATATCCAGAAGTTCTCTGCCGGATGTGCTGTATTTAGTCTCTGCAAGTTGTAGACACCTCGAGAAAAAGGCAAGTGGTTGTCACTGCTTGTTGACTAGTTGTTGCAGTGATACTTAACGGTGCCCCTGGGTTTGACACACAAGAAGAGTGGCATACGCTATAGCTTTTTAACCTGAATAAAAGCACTTTTAGTGGAAGCGTCAGTTTCGATGAACTAATCGACTAAAACAGTGAGAGTCAGCATTCAATGTTCAGTGACGAATGCTGTGGCCAGTAATTCTGTGGAATTGTGTACGCTAAGGCCCCTACTGAAAGTAGTCAGTTGAGATCTCCAACATCTCTTTTTCTGGGAGTTGGTAACTTGGTACGAGAAGCAATATTCCACATTAACATAGTTTGCTCTTGGCTTTTGAACTTTGCTGCTATGTCCTCGGAAGTGTTCCAACCTAATGTGAAGGAAAAGATAGAATAGATAAATCCGTAGTCATTACTTCAAATTTTAAACATTGTGAATAAATCTCCTCTCTGCTTACGGCATGACAGGGAGAAGAGATTTAAACTGTTGAGTCTTTGCTCGTATGATAGGTTAGTCATGTCGAAAATCATACGTGTTGCCTTTCTTTGGACAAGGACTGGCAGCCTGGATACAGTTCTCCAGTCTTGACCTCACCGGAGATGTATATAAGAAGGTGAACGTATCTCTGGTGATTCTAACAAAGGATTTTCGAATCGCCCAAAAGGATCTGAAACTGCATGCAGCCACTATGCCACCTAAATCCGAATGAGTCTGAAATAATGGGAGTTTTATTTCCTCTAGTTCGCAGGATCTAATGCTTACGTGTCCGATGACCATGGTTGCACATTTTGCTACGTTGATTCGGAGCACCGATTCTCTGGACCACTCTGACTTTTTGTTGAGGTCCTTTCGCAGCGTGAGAGTATGATTGTCGCCCTTCAACTCCCTCCGGGCTTTTAAGTATAGGACCATGGAAGAATCGGTGAGCAGAGATAACTCATTGATATACAAAACAAATAGGAGAGGTTCGATTACCGTGCTTTGTGGCACTACATTACGTACTGTTGTGCAGGAGGAGAGTTTTGAATTCATCCTGGCCCTCTGCCTCCTATCTATGGGAAATTACCTGATCTGGTTTATTAAACTGGCCTTGATTCCAGGACCTCCTATCTACTTGAATAGTTTTTTGAAGAACTCAATCAGAAGCTTTTCTGAAGCCTATGGAGACGACGATGACTGGTCTTCTGTTGTTCCTTGACTGGACCCAGCTTTCTCTTGCAGTGAGATTTGACAGGCATGAGGGGTTTCTCCGGAAGCCGTGCTGTGCTCTGGACATCAGGTTGTTGTTTTCGAGACGTGCCAGGGTAGTTTTCTTGATGATTCCTTCCGGCATGCTGATTCGATTGCTGGTGAGTCTAATAGGCCTGTAGTTTAAAGGGAATTGTCTTGATCCTACTTTGTGGATAAGGGTTAAAACGGAGTCTTTCCAGTCCAGCAGCAACAGTCCAGTTTGGAGAGATAGCTTGGAGATCGTGGGCAGTTGGCCGGTTATACGTGGTGATGGATCCTTGAGACGGTGTTCATGTATCCTTACCGTTCACGGGCGATCAAAGATTTCTGACCACTTAAATAGGACTGGTCTACATTGTTCTAAAAGATGGATGCTCCAACAAGAGTAGCAAAGTTGATTTGGCATTCGGGTGTCAGATCATATGACACAGAAAGAATACCAATCCCATGAACCTTGATGCATACCGATCTAAGCGTCATAATAACTCATGGGTTGAAATCTGCAGCACACTGTCCCTTGATGCTAGCTGTTTCCGATCCTTATAATGAATATGCAAGGCCTTTACGAGAATCATCTGTAAGATGTTTACCACACTACACAAACTCTGGTTAGACCGAAACAAGAAGGCTTCATCCCGGAAGCCACTTCTTGCATTAGGGAGGACTCATGTATTCTAAAGGGCCACACCCATGATCTCTGGTGTGATAAGTTTGTTACACTAGGAAAGACTAAAGCGATTGAACATTTTATTATTCCATAGGCAGAAAGATCAGAGGACATAAAATATAAAATTCTTAAGACAGCCGTCACACTGTCTTAACATACTGCATACCACAACCCAAGTATAATCAATCACAGAACCACTCCCCATGTGGTCAACCAAAGCTACGACAGTCCATTGGTGGGACACACTATGCAGAACTTCACCGAAGACCAGGAGTCTTTACCTTATAGCCGAGAAAATAGTACAACGAAGTCAAATTGGTTTGGCTTTTAATACCGATACTGGAAATTGGGAATTGAATATACAGTTTGAAATTTCGAATTAGGTGCTACGTTTTCTCAGTGAGCAATTCTTATCTTTGTGTAGATAACGACAGCTTCCTCACACGGCGAAGATAAAATATCATAGCCAAGACCTTAACCTTGGTTAAACTAATAGAAATCAGATGCAAAAATGTCGCATAATAGTAAATAAATACACTGAAAATATTGCAAATATGATATTATGATATGATATATTATATTATTATATTGTTGCTTACGTGTTATAAGAATGTCTTACAGTCACTTCACAGATGATCTATTGGGAAATCATACCATGCGCAATAGATGCACTCACCCAGGTGACCGTAGGTTATGGTACTTTGAGATCAATTAATATTTGTGACACTATTTTCCAACCTACTTCTAACTCTAACCCTAAGTCTGACCTTAACCAAAGTCCCTAAACCTGAATCTTAAAAGCCGTAAACCTAGCTAACAGTATAGATTTGCGGAATAAGCACCTAGTAAATAAATAGAATACTGTATCAGTCCTCTACAAGTTCAAAAAGTTAGGGATGATTTGATTAAGAATGACTGTTTCTTAGCATTCCCTGTATCTGACGAGTTCTCGAAGGTCACCTTATGAAAGCTCTTGTCATTGGCTATGATACTTTAACTCCGCCCATTTTCGGTTGTTTTTTTGGAAGTCCATGCACTTGTAACCTTTGATATATAATTGGATATCCTTTACGAGTATTTCGCTTTATTTGTTACGAAGTGCTGTTGTGCCAAGTACTGTAGTGCATGTTTGGAGGTTAACAGTTCTTTTTAATGTAAGTGTTAAAAAAATCTTCAGTATTCAGTTTCCTAAATAGTTTCGGCTTCGGACGCACTGCAGAAACTTTAGGGCAGACTGCAGATAACTGTCCCGCTTTCGGTATTGCGCCCGAAAAATATGCTACCTGGGTCAGTCTGTAGGTCAGAGTCAGTTAAATTTTTGAAGCATAACAATTAGACTGCAGCTGGGATGTTTGACTCTTCTAAGTTAATTAGTCTAGAAAAATGCCCAGTCATTGTAATGCATTCACTTGCATGTGATCACACGACTGGGTGGTATGGGGTGAAAGTATCAGACAGTAATCTAATGCTAGGATAGATAACATGATTGTTAGTGTGAATTCATGATTGATGCGATCTAATAGACATTGGTTGTTTATCGTTGAAATTTCCGTTGATGCGTGGACTGTAAATACTCGGTATTGTAAATAATTAGGTTGTTATTGTGGTACTTATCTCGGTTAAATCTGACTTATGTGTGTCTCCTCAGTATGGGGAATATAATACCGAGAAATCAGTTGCCTGTAGGCGCATCGCAGCCAACAAAGACAGCAACGAACAAAAAAAAACAGTAACTCTTCGTTACAACGTTTAGTTAAGTAGAGTGAGAGATTGGTCACTTCACCTCAAATCATCGAATCACCACCAAGCACTTGGACACAGGGATGACGTAACACCCTTTCCGGATATATGAAGAATCGCAATGAAAAGCAGCAGGGAATCGGACTGTATGAAATACTGGGAATACTTGTTGACATAGAGCAACAAATTGTCCTGTAAATGTCATCTAGCAAGGATTTGATGAATTTGTCAAATGTCGGTAGAACCAGTGTTTAGTACGCTGACTGTTAAATAAACAAATTGCTCTAAACCAGTCATGGAAAACGATAGGTGCTAATGTTTTACAGGTCAAGTTCAGATAAATAGGAGGAAAGGGTATAAAAAGATTAAAATTAAGGTAATGCATATCGGTGCAGTTACATCACTTAAATAAACAATCAGTTATCAGAGAAAGAAATTAAAATTGTCAGGAATTTCAAATTGTAATAACAAACAAATAAGATAGTGGTACTGTCAAAAAATATGTTTAGATGAATCAAGGATAATAATGAGATGGAATGAAATATTAACACCAATAACATTTAGTCAGTAGAAAGTACTATCGTGGTCAATACAAAAAGACCAGGATTTCCTTCTGAACACAGTTTACAAACTCGGTCTCTGTGTAGGTGACCATACGTTTGAACCAATGTTTAGAATCAAATTCGTCACCTGCACATTGTCCAGTTCAACGTGAGAAGTCATGATATTTTTCTTCCGGTACCAAAACTGTTCAGATCATGCGTGTTGTAGCCGCCTCAGTTATCATGTTGTATGCATGCCGAGCCACCGCGTACCTTGACGCACAATATTAACTGACTTCATGTTGAATTACAAGAGTTGGAGATGGTTAAATCAAAACATGGTATCACCATCTGGGGTTTTTAAGTGTTGGTCTGAGCCACATAGGGAGGGGAAGACTAACTTGTTGAAATTCTTGAGATGCTTAGAACCAATGGCCAGTGACTATCAGTGATATGGATGAAAACTGTTTTCAATGGTGCAGATGCATTTACCTTTATGTAACATTCCAAATATATTAAATCTTCATTATTCTCCATGTAATTATTCTTTTTCACATGCATTTCTTCCCTTTATGGTTCTTTTGAATTTATTTTCTATTTCTTTACCTTTGTGTTCTGTATGGATTTTGGAAACTTAAACTACAGCAGTCCTGTTCAAAGTTCTACGTTAAGAACTCACTGTTAGTCAGTCAGTCAGTGATGCCATTAGTGACAATCAAGATGGCATGTGGAATAGCGTGATACTACTGCTACTACTACTCTCCATTGATTCATTTGAGTATTAGGAAACCAATCAAGTCAAACGGTATTGCTTGCTAGGTAGATCTAAACACTGAGCAGCGGTTCCGTTCATCAGAAGCGTACCGGGTTCGAATCCGCTGACAGATATGTCGCTTAAATGTGACTGTCAAGCACTTTGGCTTAGAGTCACTGCTTTCCAACTACTGATATCAATCAGTCAGTAGTATATACTCGAACCTGTCTCCTCTGCTTTACATGATCTAGTGAAGTAATTCATTAATGTCTTACGGTGAGCAATATTGAGTTTAAGCGTTGAGTGTTAGGTAAGGAGGGGAAATCAATCGATGAGGCTGTGAAGCTACACCTGTTGAGATACTTAGGACATGTGTTCTGCATGCATGCCTAGCCATCGCCTTCCTCGACAACGGGCAATGATAGCTGACATAAGATTGATCAGGTTGGAAAAGAGCTGGTTAGTGGTGGTCAAACCAAAACATGGCTTCATCAGTCAATCGAATCCACAACAGTTAGTTTAAGCCAGTCACGTAGGGTGGTGTCGACTTCCTGGTTGGGTTCCTCGGGACGGTAAAAATCAACGAAGGCTGGAGACAATTGGTGATATGGCTCAAAATCGCTCTCAGTGATGGCGCAGATGCATCTACTTCTTGTGACTTATAATACTCAATAAAACTGTATTGTTCTTCGGCATTATTCTTTTTGCCTCATATCTGTTTACTGTCTCTATTTTGCATTTCTTTTTACTTTCTTCTCTTGCTTTGTGTGGTACATGGAGTGTGGCGACTCGAACTGGTGCACATCGGTTCAAATATCTATGTTAAAACCAGTCAGTTTTTAAAAGTTAAACTACTATCCTGTACATATATATATGTATATATTATTGGGGAATTCAGTACATAAATCTGTCGACTGACACATATTGTCTTACATATAGAATTGTTATCTTCTTGTCTTTTCTATAAATTATAGATAAAATTACGCCTATGGAGCGCGTAAATACGCAAGTTAAGACTTTGTCAACTCGGCTAAAGTACCTTTCACGTTATGTGATACAACAAAAACATCAGTTAAATTCAGCAGTAAGTCTACAACTGATGTCATTTTCTTTTTGTTGTTTTGTGTTCACGTTTAGTTATCAGACAGTCTGTGCTTTTCTACATATCAATCACTGTGTCAACGGTTTGTATCGTATTGTTCTTATAGTTGGTGTTTCCCAGATTACGTCATCCTTGATACATACTTGATAACTGGCTATCGATCAAAGGATGTGTGTACTGCGCAGCAGTTCTCTCTTTCCTTCTTTATGGTTGTTAAACATGGTCATTGAAAGTAGAAGACTTGGGAAGGGTAGTTGTTTGCGCTCTATCTCCCGTGTTCATTGGTATAATATGGTGATTATATTTGGGTAGGTTTAGTGGTAGGCAACGAAGGGAAGTCAGTCAGTCAATGAGTTTGTGAAGTCATATCGATTGAGACGGCTAAGATACGTGTTACTCATGTCAAGTCACTGCTTTCCTCAGTAAACAATGTTAGTTAATATAAGATAACATTGAAAAAGAACGATAGGGTGGTTAACCGAAACCTGTCATCAATCTGTGGAATACTTGACAGTTGGTCTTAGCTACATACAGAGGTGTAGACTGTATGATTGGGATCCTTGAGATGCCAGGAACAAGTGGCTACAGACTGTTAGTGATACGGCCCAAAACCGTTCTCTCTATAGTGCAAGTGAGTACCCTGTATGTAATCTCCTAGATTCATTTAATCTTAATGTTTTCCCATATTATACTATTCCTTTCTCTCGTACCTTTCTGCCTTTCATAGTTTTGTTTCTTTCCTCTAACCCCTTTGTATGCTTGCTACATGGAGTTTGGGAACTTGAACTAGTACATTTGTGTACAAAGTTCTACTTTGAAATTCAGCCAATCAGAGTGTTATAAGTTCGTGTAGATTTTGATATGTATAGTGCTTATACAATTCGCAAGTTACTACACCTTTTTTATTGTACACCGAATCCTAACTAATGAATGATTGATTTTTACTAAACCTAATATTACTCTGTAAGTTAGTTAGACAAATGTTTGTACTTGCGGAATTACAATTCATGCCGTGGACTTGTGATAATAGGGATTAGACTGACTGGCTAACTGACTGAATGTTTTCAATATAGAACTTTGCACAGAAGTGCAACACTTGCAGTTGCCACATTCCATGTACCACAAAAAGCACGAGAAGAGAGTAAAGGGAGGTTCAAAAGGGAGAGATAATAAACAGAAGCTAATTACTGACGACATTTTATTACAGGCGTAAGTCGATCGGTTAGGTTTCGAAGCGGTATACGCCGGGGTATGCGTTGCTCATGCAGGGGGCATTTCTGATATCAGATACCACTAGGATACTTCCTGCAAATATGTCCATTTCATTTGCAATGCCTTCTGCTTACAGGTTGGGTAATAGATTGTTGGTTGGTTCACTGCCAGAGTCCGTTGTTGGCTTGATCATCCTTTCGGACTGGTTATTTGATTTTTGGAATCGGAATGGCGAAGTTAGCTGTTATTCAAGTGTTGGTTTGCAGGGATTTGATTGGTTACAGGATTTTCATCATGAGCTGACATTGGTTAAAGAAACATTGGAAAATGCTTCGTCCTAGTTTGTGACTCTTCATCAGCACACACCCACCGGGATTCGAACCCAGGACTTTCCGCTTACAAGGCGAGCTCGTAGGCCATTATGGTGAAGGTAGCTGTTGTCGGGACTGCAAACTAGACTAGGTTTAGAAGTGGAACCTGGACACCTCCCGCGTGAGACTGGCGAGCATTCCACCAGTGAATCACCAGCTCCAAACTTTTCAAGAGAATGTAGTAAAAGAACTTCGTTTTCTAGATCATTTGTTTACATTCGGTTCAACACTTGCTTTCTTTACTATTATTATTATTATTACCTTTAGTAATATCGACTTTTTTTGTTTTCGTTTTTACTTCAGTTGGCAAAGATCACTGCTCTTGAGGAACAGTTATCTGCTCATTTGTCAAAGTGTACACTACCGTGTACAAAACGATCTATAGGCTGTCAGGTATCGCCAAAATCAAAACCTTCAGTTACTCTGTCATCAAGTAGAAAGCATTCAGTCACTTTATCGCCTAACATGAGTGATGTCTCTTCTTCTTCTTCAAGCAAATCCTTTAATGGCACAATACAATGGCTTCAAACAACATCCAATTCAGTGGACGAGGACAGACCAAAAATGTCTAACAAACTGGAGATTAAAAAATGTCAGGCTGTTAACTCACTTTCCTCTCAAAGGTAATAGTCATCTCTTCATAGGTTTGTTTTAATTGTGTCCCCTTTTTGAAAAAGGGTTTATTATCTGTTAGATATCTCAGCAGTGTCTGTAGGTGGTAGCCTTAATGTCAACCTTCTCTATTTATTCTGGCCTTACTATCGGCTAGTTAATTAACTATAGACGAGGTTTAGGAGTGTGTTGGAGGTGGGAGTCGAATCTGGACCATCTGTGTGTGTGATTGGCGGATATTTCATTGAACTATCGGGTGCCTGGTTGGACTAGATTAGTCCTCTAACCATTCATTGCGTAGTGTCTATTATTTGTTATGTACGGAAGTTTGGGAGTATACGTATTTTAAAAATTCAAATGTGCCTCTGTGCCCATACTTGATGCACAGCTGCTGCCTTATCTCTTAAGGCCTGAATAAAAGGAAACCCTATTGTCTATCCATGTTACTACTGCTTCTCCGTCACATTTCTACTTATTACTGTTTTTCTTAATCCTTGCTTCCCCTCTTTTGCCTACGTTTGTGTGGTTCATGGAATGTGACAGCTGGAACTATTGCACTTCTATGCGAAGTTTTATGTTGAAACCAGTCAGTTAGCATGATACCGTAATTTCTGTGTGGTAGAGAAAAAGTTTGGTAAGTTTGCTACAGAAGTCACACATCTCTGCATAAATTCTAGTGTGTGGTAAATGGTTTGAGTCTAACGGTCTTAAACTGAATCCTTCTAAATGTCAAACTGTAAATTTCAGCTTAAGATGTAAACGACAGTTAAAAGAAGCCGTCGATTCTCATGACAGTTGTAAGATTGATGACAATGATATAGGAATTAAATCAGAAATAAAGTATCTTGGACTTATTCTCTCTTCTGAACTCTCCTGGTCTTCCCATGTCTTAGCGATCTCCAGTAAAATATTCCGCCTGACATTTTACATTAAGAAGTTAAGGTACTCGGGTATAACTCAACCCCCTCCTCTTATAGTTCATAAACTCTTGCATCCTATCTATTCTTCTTAATTGTTCACCCTTATTCTTTCCTAGTTTGCTTAAAAAGGACTATGTCACAATTCGTAGAATGCTGAAGACTGTCAGTAGGATGAGTGGTGTCCCAGTGGACTACATAGTCAACGTCGTTGTTGATAGGCACTTGACTTCGTGTAGTAAACTTGCTAAAGGGATTTCGTCTGACTTGGAGCATCCACTTTACCCTCAGCTTTCACTTTGCATCTCCTCAGGTAGAACAAGAAGTAACTTCAGAAAACTGTATGCTCGCACGTCTAAGTATAAAAATTCTATGATACCATACTTAGCACGTATTTTATGTGATGAAAATAGCGTCAGGCAAGAATTAACTAACCTTTTTCATCTAGTAAATGAACAATCTCCTCCATCCATCCTTGTATACCATCAAGTTTTACTTTTATTATTTCTATTCTATTTATGGTCCTGTTGTTTCTTTGTTTTTACTTTCATAACTGCAAACACCAACGTATCTCTATGACTGCTGTAATCTTTGTTTTTCCCCTCATCATATCATGTAAAGAGAACATTATATTCAATATTTTTAATCATATACCGCATCGACCATACTGTGTGAAACAAGCCCACGGCAATTTCCACTTGTATTATTATCATTACCTTAGCTGCTATCATTATTATTAATGTTTCCATTTTATATGCTGCATGTTTTTTGACATTACCCCTATTGTAAATGTTGAAAAATTTTCTGTGTGATTGATTTTATTTATAACTTGAGGAAATTAGATGCATTATTGTGACTAATGCTGAAAATTCCATTCTGTAACACAAGTACTGTTTTCGGAATGAAGTAAATCATTATTATTATTACTAACAAGATTTATCAGTAGCATCGGAAGAAAAAAACATGTAATAGCGGAAAGATAGAGTTGACGTGAGGAATAGCGAATGAACCTGTGTTGTGGGGGAGACATGAAAAGAAAACAAAGAACCACAACACGAAAGGCAGAAATGAAGATTTATGCCGTCGGTGGCATAGCGGTTAGGACTCTCGCCGACCATGCACATGGTCCGGGGTTCGATCGCTGGCCGGCGCACTTTTTTACCCCACTAAGCCAGAAATAAAGCTGGTGAAGAGAAAAGGTTGGGCATGAGGCTGGCTAGCAACCCCATCCTGTAAAAGTAAACACTGCTAAAGAAACTTCAAGCCACTAGCTTGAAACCCTATGTTCCACTGGGAACGTGAAAGAATAAAAAAAAGAAAATTTATGCAAACGATGATTTTAATATAAGGCGGACATAATTTCCCCATATATGTATGTGTATATCAAATTCCAAATGAACATCCCGTTATCAAGTCTGTTGTCTTCTACTGTGTTAGATTAATACTCGAAATACCGCTTCAAATAGAACGAATACACCGGGGTCGAAGTCGATTGTAAAGCAAGTATGAAAATGGGACTTAGGTTGACATAATGATCTCTTTTTAAAAAAAATATAAAATGCTACAAAGGTAGGTACTCACAAGAAATAGATATATAATTGTATAAATATATACAAATCACTACACTAACCTTTTTTCCTCTCTCTTTGTCCTACATACTTCAAGGAGAAATTAACTAATCCTGAAAAGTATATATGAGTTCAATCTCCGGCTTACTTCTGAGCTTCTTTTTTTCTACTTTTGTGGGCTACATGGCGTGTAGCAACTTGAAGTGACTTACTTCTGTACTACGTTCTATGTTAAGGCAAAGTCGTCCGTCAGTCCTTAGCCAAGTAGTACTCTACGGCTAATGTTAATATTAATCCCCGAAGACAGAAGGTGTGAGATGAAAATCTAGGTTGACGCAGGGTTTGGAACCAGCGGTCTCCGAATTACTAGTGTGGGAAGAATCCATCAACTGGGAATTCACGCTATTTATCCAATCGTATATGTAATGGTCTACGAGCTCGCCTTGTGACTAGAAGGTTCTGGGTTTGAACCCCTGTGGTGGGTGCGTATTGCTGAAGAGTCCCAAACAAAATGGAACAAAGCAGCTATCCAGTACACTTGAACTTTTAATTATATAAATCTCTAAGTGATTTCAGCTGATGATCAAATTTTGAAATAAATCAAATTCCTTTTTTTTGATTTTTGTTCCCATTTTCTATAGATTGAAAACTCCTGTAGCAAAGAAAAGACGACGTTCGTCAGTTCTACCTCCTTCACTTCGTAAAGTGAAGAAAGTTGCAAGAACAATGTCAAATAAATCTGCTGAAAGGAATTAAATCCTCCCTTCAACTTCGAGAATATAGTGAGTAGAATTTTTCTCCAATGAGTTGTTTATTAAATTTTTCATCCCTGTATGTATGTATATATGTTCATATACGTTAGTCGTTCAGTAGTAGCAGAATACTCGTGAACACTACTCAGGCGGTCTGGGGTGCGATTACCAGTCACCATCAGATGCACACTCTTAAACCTTGCTTAGCTTTTGGGAGTAAACTGGGTAAAGAATGAAGGTCAGGCGTGATGCTGGCAGCCCACACCCTATCTTTTAGAAAACATCTTTGCTACTGAAACTAAAAAGCCTGAGGCTTGAATTTCTGTGTTCCACTCGGCGGAACGCAAAGGAATAGAAAGGGAAAAGTATCTGTTTATCATAAAAGTAAATAGTCTGATAAATGAAAATGTTCTTTTGTCGAACTTTATACCCCTTTGTATTTTCCCCCTCGCTAGCCATGCTTGGCAGTGTTCCCGCGCGCGTTTTACAAGAGGACGCATGGCACGGCCAGTATACTCAGCTCCAGACGAGCAAGTGAACTTGTATGCATGCATATTGAAGTGGCCCAATGCGACAGCTTGTCTTTCACGGGTTGGGTGAGTAGTTTCATGCAGGAGAATGGTATTGGTTGGCTGGCAGCGAAGTATGTTATACTGTTATACACCTCGAAAGCAGTCTGCGGAGAATATCTGTTTCGGTATCACTTTTAAATTCGAGGTTCAATATCAGCATTTTTTTTTCGGGGGCAACTTGGACCTTTTCAGGTGCTTTCCTTGGTTTTAGATTCTTGTCTATGCATCTGGGTGGGAATCCACTTTCTATCAATGTCCCTTAGAGATTTCGTAATTCTTCATCGATTGACTCTTCAGTGCAAATCTTCCGGATCCTCCAGGAAAGAGAGTATATTAGGTTTCTCTTTCTGCTTAGAGGCACACAACTTTGAAAGTTAATAAACTGTCCGTTCCATGTGGGCTTTTTGTAGATGGATTTTCCTAGCGAGTTATCTGCATTCTTTCGTAGTTGAACGTAGAGGAAATGAGTTAGACTCAACCTCCAGGGTAAAATCGATGTTTAAAGTTTGAAGTTAGGTTTTTTAGATCACAATTCTCATCACAAATAATGAAACTATCATCTATGTTTCCCTTGTAGAGATGGAGGTCGTCTATAGTTGGTGATAAGGAGTTGTTTTCTTGGCTAGCCATAAATCAGTCGACCAGGAGGAGTCCTAGGGGAGAACCCATTACTAATCCATCTACTTGCCTGTATATTTCGTTGTTGAAACTAAAGTATATGTTGAAGGTGCATCGTAGTAGAAAATGTAGATATCCAAACAAGTACTGTTCATATAAAGGCGAAGGGTGGGGGTTTTTTCCCCGAAGAATTAATCTTCTTTAGTTGTACAATCGCATTTATATGTTCAGCCTTCTTTCATAAAAGAAGATAGTAACACAAGGGATTGATTTGTGATAACCACAGTTACTGATAATATTCATCAACACTTAAGAGAGGTTGAATAGGGAAGGAACATTGTATAAGCAACATATATGGTTTGTTTGTTCGAACGGATCTCCATTTTTGGCACCTGTGGCCTGGACAGTCGTACGCTGTTTGGCAGAAAATTAGAGGGGAGTGATCAAAAACTTTATGCTGTAGTAACCGTGTACTCTTGGTTCATTGTCAGGGTGAAGAAATAAACAACACCGGAATCATCAATCTATTTTCTGTTCTTTTAAGAGTCGATATATACTGTACATGGTATCCTGAGACAGCGGTAAGTTTCCCAACGGCAGCACTAAGTTCATGCTCTTTTCCGATCTGGACAATTGACACAAGTTGTTAGAAGTTACACAGTAAGGCAGTTAATTTGTAATCAATATACAAACATAGAAACGGATGGGAAGAAGTTTCACCATATGTAAGAGTTCAAAAGGAATCCAATATAATTGAAATATAACCATGATGTAATAATTACAGAACACAATTTTGGTAATTTCTCATCAGGATATACAATTAAATATTATTATATTATTATTATTCCCTTGAGTTTCGAGTGGAGCATAGGGCTTCAACAAGACATCTCCACTTTGTTCTGTTTTCCGCCGTTCTCTTCAGCTGAGTCCACGATTGACCAAACTCTCTCATCTCTTCCTCACACCCTAGCACTGACGACCCACTCGTCGCTTCCTATTTGGATTCCACTCCAGGCATTGCCTGGCGTGCGATGTGAGTGTGTGTGTGTGTATGTCCCAGACTCCAATGGGTGAAGCAACTTTTTAACTCGCGACCCCATTGCTTAAAGGTTGAGTGCTTGAGTTAGTAATGAGCTACACCTTCACCAATGAGACATCATTTCCTTCGAGGTTTCAAACACACACACGCACACACCTTGCTGAAGAATCTCTAACAAGTGCGAAACCACAGATCGAAGTCTTCGTCTGTCTATCTGTCTGTCTGTTTTCGACATAGAACTTTGCACATATGTGCGGCAGTTCAAGTCGCCACACTCTATGTAGCACACAAAGCAAGAGAAGAAAGTAGGAGAAATGCATATGAGAGACAGTAAACAGAGGTGTGAGACAAAGGAATAGTAATAACGAAGAACAAAACAGTTTCACTGGAAATCATAAGTCACAAGGAGTGGATGCATCTGCAACAGCCATTGAGAACGATTTTGAGCCATGTCACCAATTGTTTCCAACCATTGGTTTTTACCGTCCCGAGGACCCCAACCAGGAAGTCTACGCCTTCCTACTTGGCTGGCTTAAACTAACTTTTGTGGATTTCATTGACTGGTGTCATGTTTTGGTTTGACCGCCGCTAGCTCTTTTCCAGCATGACCCTATGTCAGTTAACATTGCCCATCGAGGAAGGCGATGACTAGGCATACGTAACACATGTCCTAACCATCTCAATCGATGTAGCTTCACAGGCTCGTCGATTGATTTCCCCTCCTTACCTAGCACTCGGCGCCTAACCTCAGTATTGCTCACCTTATTATACCACTTCACACGGGAGATAGAACGCAGGCACCTATGATCGAAGACAGCTAATCTTCTCATGTCTTCCACTTTCAATGGTCAGGTCTCGCAGCCAGCCATAAAGGAGGACGGAGCGAACTGCTGAGCAGTACACCCGCCCTATGTTTGACAGCCAGTAGGATATCACGTCTACGCCAGAGACGGCGGTGTAAACTGGCATATGCGAAACTAGCCCTCTGTATTCAGAAGTCTACGTACCGACCATCTACAAATAAATTGGTCTAATATCGAGCTATAGAAGTACAGCTTATCTTGAAACCAAGTAGTCAGTCTTCGATGAAACTGACGTCACTAAATGACGAAGTCGACTTCTTTTGATTTATCTCAAGTATAGCACAAATTTAGGAAGCATTCTTATCACACATCATTATTTTGTTAATCTATGTTAGCTTTGTTTTATTATTTGTTTTACAGGGTCATTCTTCATCAGGCAATCAACCCTATTTTGGTACCAACAATCCTTTGGGCTATTGTAGCTCATTTTGAACCAGCATTTTTTATTGTTAACGTTTGCATTTTATTTTGTGTATATATAGAGAGATCTACAACACAAGTGATTTTATTTCACTTGATGATTATTATTTCCTTACTGCCTTTTGTTATACTAAGAGAACAGATTAAACTATTTTTGTGATCACAGTAATCTGTTATTTCTTTTAAATGAATGAATGAGTGGAGTTGATCCAGTTGTTTAGTGTTCATTTGGATGTGTGTGTGTGTGCATCTGTTTCTGAATGTTATCATACCTAGTTATATGTATTTTCAAGTATTGGTTTTGTAGGGATTTTGTTTGATCGTTCGCAGGATTTCATCATGAGCTGACATCAGTTACAGAACCACTGGATAACCATCTGGGAGTACTGAGCAGCTGTTTCGTCCTAGTTTGGGAGTCTTCATAAGTACACACCTGCCACCGGGGTTTGAACCCAAGACCTTCTGGTTACAAGGCGAGCTCGTAGAGCACTACACATATATATATATGATTGGATAAATAGCGTGAATTCCCAGCTGATGGATTCTTCCCACACTAGTAATTCGGAGACTGCTGGTTCCAAATCCTGCGTCAACCTAGATTTTTATCTCACACCTTCTGTCTTCGGTGATTTAAAATTAACATTAGCCGTAGAGTACTACTTGGTTAAGGATTGACGGACGACCGAGCCTTAATAGAGAAGGCAGTACAGAAGTAAGTCACTTCAAGTTGCTGCACGACATGTAGCCCACAAGAGTAGACAAAACAGAAAGAAAAGAGGCTCAGAAGAACGATAGTAAGCAGAAATGTATTTAATTGGGAAAGAATGACGATTTAGTGGATACAGGAGAAGTCATAAAGAGTGAATGCATCTGCTCCACTGAGAACGATTTTGAGCCATATCAGTTTACAGTTCCTGTTAGTTCGTAGGGTCGCGGGGACACCAACCAAACAGCCTTCACCATTCTATGTAGCTGGCTCAAAAAACTCATGGACTGATGCCAGGTTTTGGTTTGACCACCCCTAACTCTTTTCCAATCTAATCCTATATCGGCTAACATTTCCTGTCAAGGGAGACGATGGCACAGTATGCGTAACACATATCCTAGCCGTCTCAATCTCAATTCGAAGGGAAGCTATATCGTTCGCCATTGCTAGGACACATGTCGCGCATGCCAAGCCATTGCCTTTCTCGATTAACAGTTTTAGCTGACATATAGGAGGTTAGGTTGGAAAAGGGTGGTTGGTTGGCTGAACAAAAACATGACGTCAATCCATGGAGTTTTTGTCAGGTAGTAGTTTCAGTCAGGTAGGGAGGTGTAGACCGTTTGGTTGTGATTCCTGGGATCTGATGATATTAGATGGTTGGAGGCAATCAGCAGGAAACCTTGCTTGACCTAGGTTTCGTGCTAGTTGGCACTCGTCAGCAAGACGTATCTGCAACTTTGAAGGAACTCATGTCCCTTCTGAGATTCGAACCCGCGTCACCCAGTGCTGCAGTCAGAGACGTTACCACCACTGAGCTATTCGAGCTCACGATTGACCTCCTGTAGGACTGTATTGGGTACTTTGATTGGACACTAGTAACTAGTGTGATGTGTCTAGTCCTTTCTTCGGTGCATCTAATATCATCAAATCAATGTGCACCGTGATGGCGAGCTACCTAGAGTGATGGCCACATTGCAAACCTGACTGATAGAATTCAGTCTGTACCAAAGAATGGACTAGATACATCACACTAGTTACTAGTGTGCAATCAAAGTATTCCTGGGATCTGTTTGTCATGTCTTTTCAACTTAACTGCGTGGCATTATTTGTCTGCATCTAATTTACTAGTATTGCTATGCATAGTTCGTTTGTGTATACCGAAGATTAATTTACTAAGCCCCGACCGATAGCTGCTACCTTGACGTGGTGGTCGGGCTTGCATATCGCAATGACCCAACGAGGTACATTGGCTGGAACGTATGTTCCTGTAGGTCCTACCATGCCAGAAAGGTTGTTTGGATAGTGGTTAGACAGAAATAGCTACCCAATCCAATACTATGATTCAAACAAATTCACAAAATATCATGCCGGATCGGTCGGGGCCCGGATTAACAACGACCGCGCTTCCTGCTGCCGTGTCACAGGGCAGAATTGATAAATATGCTACTGAGACACACCAAATAAGAAAAAACAAACAAAAACAGGCCGCGTGTGACCGGCCTCAAGCAGTTGTCCTCTGGGCTCTGCGGTCACGCAAGACTAACCCTACTAAGCAGTTCATGTTGATGTAATGGATACACGTGTATAACTGAAAATTTCAAAATGGTTTCAAATTAGTTGATTTCTTTTGGTTTAAAAGACAAGCTGTCACCGTTAGGTTTAAATTGGTTGGCTTGGAGAAAATGAATTACGTTGAAATGTATCAGGGTGTAATGATATACTCGTCTGAAGAGCTCGTTAATGAAAAGTTGTAAAATACGATGGGGACAGCTGTTTTATTTTAAATAGTTGTTTTCTAATTGTTACAAAACTATTTTATTGATTCGTATTTCATGTGGCTCATCGCTTTAAGCGGTTGAGTTTCATTCAGTGGATCATGGATCCAAAGTCACCTCTATATACTTCAACCAGAAGCAGCAATCACCATCAGTGGGAGATATCTAATGGAAGTCACTTGTTCGCCTAGGCAGTATCGTTTCAACTACAACTAGGAGGTTAGAATTGGAAAGGCAAGACCACACCTTTATTACTCTAAAACTGGTGTGGAGTTCGACTGCCCTCAGCATGAGAGACAAGGTGCAAAGTTTCAACACTAATGTCAATGCAGCGGTTCTCTATGGTTCAAAGACTTAGTGGGCGCATACATAGTCGGAAGCATTTCCAACAGCTACTTTCTCTGGATACTAAGGATCAGATCTCCAGAATGGATTAACAACAAGAAACTCCAGTGACGAACCTACTGCCTAATGAAAATACGCAGAAAGAAATGGAGATGGATTGAATATACTTTGAGTGACATCATGCGCCAAGTCTTCGAGTGGGGAACCGGGTAGAAGACGACGAGTTGGGCTTCCGACAGCGACATACAGGAGGTCACGTGACAAGGAAATAAAAACTCGTGGTCAGTTTTCGAGCCAGCTTAGAAAGTCTGCAAGGAGCAGGGTGAATAGGTGATGTTCTTCTGAAGCCTTGTTTTCCACTCGGGAACCAAGCCGTCACGTGGTAAATGTAGCTTACATTGTGGTAAATGAGAAGTCTTTTCTGGCTACTGAGTTCCAACTTCCATCCTAGTTCCCAAACTTAAAGTGAGGCATGACATGCTAGCATTCATTCCAGGCAGCTCTCTTTGTATTATCTGTCTATTGTTACAATGAATCTGTTATTAGCAGTCGTGCAAGTGAATATGCAAATATCAGGCTCAAATTGTATTCGTGTTAAACGTGGTTTTGTGTTCATGACTTCAAATAGTGAATACTGGTCAACAAAGAAGCCATCACATTGACTTTAAGCCGTTATTGGTCGTTCAGTAATTAGGTGTTCGATTTGCAGCTGATTGCACCAGATATAACTAGTGATTTTATAGTACAGTTAAAAAGGATTGCTGTAATAAAATTCTTTTAATGGTTACTGTGTATTAAGTAGCTTTTAAGTCTATAGTTAGTCAAGAGTTTTAATAAGATTTAGATAGAAGAAGTGATAAAGAACATTAAGAATAGAAGAAATAATGTCAGATAGTTGGAGGCAATCAGCAGGCAGCCCTAGACCAGGATTTCGTGCTTGTTGGTACTCGTCATTAAGGTGTATGTGCAACTTTGAAGGGACTCACATCCCCTGTGGGATTCAAACCCTCGTCAGCTAGTGCTGCAGTCAAAGACTATGCTAATGAGCTATTCAGGCTGACAATTACAAACAGCTGTGGTCAGCACTCTCTTTGATATAAACTGAAATAGTTCTACAAGTTGTTATGTCTCATATTTGAGTTTTTAAGCTCAGAGTGGCACAGATAAATGAATTGCTTTGCGACTATGCAAAGTAGTAGCAGTGAATGCGTGTTACAATACTCCCCACTCCCACCGATTATGAGGCGTACTTATTAGTATCTCCAACCTTACGTTTTCGTTGTCGCACTAATGTTTACAGCAAGTCTTTATAGACTATGACTATAGAGATATATTTCCAAATGTATTCAAACTAGTTGTCAAACTTGAAAAAAATCGAATTCCTGCAAACTAACTCTTGAGAATTTAATCTGATGCTCGTTAGTGACTGGCTACAGGAAGAAGTTGCTCGGAGTTCTGGTGAGAAGTCGTAACCCGCGGGTTCCACCAGATCGGGCGTGAGCATAAATACTCACCAGTGACGCTACCTTGTGTTCGCCCTAAAATCTCAGATTTTCAAAGGTCACTTGAAACCAGAAGGTCCTGGGTTCGAATCTCTGTCGGTGTGTACTGCTGATGAGTCCCAGACTGGGATGAAATAGCTGTCCAGTACTCCCAGCTGGTTTTCTAATGGTTGTCCAACTGATTTCATCTCGTTATCAAACCAGCGAGTTTCATGGATTGCAAATAGCTTTAAATTTGCTTAGTGACGTGCTACTGGTTGATTTGAGTAGTCGGGAACTACTCATGTCAACCACTGGTGCTTGTCAGCCCAGATCAAAGTGATCTAAACACCGGGCCGAGCTCATGAGTAGTGTATCCGGGTCGACTCAGCTTAGAGAGCTGAGTTAGTTTTAACTATTTGAATTCTCACTGGCTACCTTGATTCTGTCTATTACCAGCTTGCACAAGTGAGCAGTGAGGATTCGATTTGTTTAAACTGATTCGAATATTTGGGTTAAGTTGTTCTGGGTAAATCTATGCTGAGTTCGACTCCAAAGGAGCGAAACAACTGTCTAGTGGTGATCAGATTTCTTCTGTCTGGCTATCAAATACTATTAGTTGACTTGAGTGGTTTTGTAGCTACTCAATAGTACATGCCGTTATATTAGTCTGCTTCCTTCGTTGACCACCATTCATGTAGTCTGAATATTTTCGATTTCCAATGCATCCACTCCTTGTGACTTATGATTTCCAATTAAACTGTTTTGTTCTCCGTTATTACTATTCCTTTGTCTCACACCTCTGTTTACTGTTTCCATTATGCATTTCTTCTACTTCCTTCTCTTGCTTTGCGTGCTACATAGATTGTGGCGACTTGAACTGCCGCACATATGTGCAAAGTTCTGTGTCGAAAACCGACCGACCGACCGAATGAAAAGTGGTTTGAAATAATCACCTCGAACTGTGTAATTTCCAAGCAGTGAATTTGATTTATCATTAGATTTGTATTTCACCATACTTATTATTATAATGTTATTATTCCCTTGGGTTCCGAGTGGAGCATAGGGCTTCAACAAGACAGCTCCACTTTCTCCTCTTCTCTGTCATCCTCTTCAGCTGGGTCCACAATTGCTCATAATGTCTGATCTCCTCCATGTCACCCACGGACGACCCACTTGTCGCTTCCCATTTGGATTCCACTTGAGCGATGGCCTGCATTATACGGTATGTCATTCGACGGCCTCCTCAATGTATTCCCGATCCACCTCCATTTTCTCCTATATATTTGTTGAGCGATCGGCTCTTAGTTAGTTTTTTCCCAACCAGTTTTTTGTTGCTAATTCTTTCTGGTCGGCTGGCCACTCGATCTTCAGTATGGAGCCAGCCAGCGAAGCAGGCAGCTGTTGATCAATGTCTGCAAACTGTTGGAAATCCTCTTCGTGACTTACACGCAGTGCAAGTTTGTGACCCGTATAGAAGAGCTGATCGACTTGACATTGTTGTTGAAAATCCGAATCTTGTTCCTTATGTTGAATGCAGAAGATTTCCAAACTAGTTTCAGGTTGATGAAGGCGTATCTTGCCTTTTTGATTCTGGCTGGCTTTGAAATGTTCATCCTTGCTGTCCGCCTGTAGTTGGAAGGATTCTTACTAGATAAGTGAAGGAGGTAACTCTTGTCAAATCTCTCCCTTTGATGGTGATTGGTGCTGGTTGTTGTGAATGAATCAATGAATGACAGTAATTAGATATTATGAGTTCATATTGTGTTATATTAGTAGTAGTTTGATTGTCATTATGTGGAACTAAAAAATAGATATAGGTAATATTCGAACAAGCAGACTCCGGTTTACCGGAACGGATATAATGCCTCAATGATCGAACTAAATAATATTTGTATGCATAATATTGACACATTGTGGTGTCTGCTAACCAAAATTGCAGACAATTTACGTCAATGTTTACGTCCCGAATCGGGGTCATGAGAAAAAACAATAACAAAGCTTAACCTTGAGGAACTCAACAGCCAATCACAGCAGACTTAGCGTGTGCGAATACGATTCGCAGATTTACGGCCTGACTTTCTAAGAAACGGCCACAAGGAGATGACAGGATAATCTTCAGCAAGAAAACAAGCAATCAGAAGACGTAGCTTCTCTGCTAACAATAACGAATAATTTTGAGTAGTATTGAGCGAAACTGTTGATGAAGGTCTGTAGTTTGTTTGAGGTGCTCTTCATGACGTGCCAAGTTGTCTGCTTAGTTAGTGAATTTTCTTTTGAAGAATAATGTAAGTCATACGAAAAGACAGAAATGAGGAATGGAGAAAGCACACCAATATTGAGGTACACTAGCTAGGGTATGCAGTTTCCTGTCAGGAAAATAAGGAAAAACTGCTTTGTAACTCCAAGGCTCAGTATATGCTGTGGAACGCTTACTCACCAAGAGCTGATTAGTGCCAATAAGCGCCAAATTTAGTTACAGCTCCTCCCTCTGATTACCTGTGACCAGCTAACATATGCATCTATTTAAATATGTTATCCGGCGGTTGGTAGCTAGCAGTGGAATCCAGAATGTGCATTTCGTCCCATTTCTGACTCGTCAGCTAGACTTACCTACATCCTTGAGTGAGTGGTGTTTCCACTGAGACTCGAACCCATCACCTGTCGCCTCAAACACCAAGCTCTATCCAACGGGTCATGAGAACCCCACCTCTTGTGCTACAGGTATCAGTTATCATGGGATAACATTTCGTATTTCGCATTGATTGATTACAGTAGACCTAAATGTTCGGCGTCTAATGATGATGTTATTTGGTGGATGGTGACATCATGCATCTGTAGATGAAATTTTCACTGCGCTCGCTAGGCTATGTGAAATAACACTAGAGTGAATTGTAATTCGGCATTACACAGCTGAAAGTATTAAGTGGTAGAGGTACGCCGGATCTAGGTATTCTCTTCATATATTTTTTACCACTCATCAACAAGGTGTGTGTGTATCTGTGTGGATTGAGTTAAACTTCATTGTCATGCGTTTGTTTTACTGTTGAAAACTGATTTGTTTTGATCACTACTCATTCATGTATAAATGTTTTGTTTTTGTCATTTTAGATTTGTGTGGTTTAATCGTGTCGATTTAATTGAAGAAACCGTGCAATATTATGGATTCCTCATCTGAATCACAAGGTATGTGGTAATGTTTCAAATTTTTTCCATCATTTAAGCTATTGCAAAAGTGTTTATTCCATATCAATTTGTTTATTAGATATATCTCACAGTTAGTGAAACAGTATTATTTACTGGATGACAAGGTTTCGAACACAATTTATTATGGTTCATAATCATTTCATCAACTATAATCACACGACTCCGAAACTTGAGTTTTATAGTGTTTTTTGTTCTCTCCTATTTGTCGTACGGGTAGTAGAATTTTCCAGATATCTGGGTGGACAGGTGTTGAATCATTCCTATTACACGTATTTGCAGTTGATTCGATAAACGAAGTTTCCGTTATCAATCTCTCCCTCCACCCTGTTATATTAGAATTTAAAACTCTCATCCTATCCCATCCTATTGTATAGTTGTGTGTAATTGCATGTAGTGAGTGCTATAGCTTAACTATTCTCTAGATTTCTTATCTCATTAGGGTCAACTAATCTAGATTTTGCTAAGTTTTTATGTTCAGCTAGTCTGACTGCCCCTGTTCTACTACTTTGGCCTATGTATTTGACCTGATAACCATTGCAGGGTATTAGATAAACTAAATTGTTTTGTTTTAAAGGCTCCACAGCATCCTTTAACCGACAAAGCTTGTTTCTAATTGAGTTTGTGGGTTTGAATACCAGCCACTTTTATTCCTGCCTTGTTAAGAATTCTGAGTAAGGTTTCCGAGGTTCCTTCTTTGTATTGAATTACTACTGATGATTTAGATTCCTTATTGTATAAATCAATGAATTAATTAATTGATTAAAAAACGACCCCATACTGAGGAACGATGATTAAGTTGTTATACATAAGCTGAGATTTTGTAAATTCTGGTTTAATGTGACTACTTTGATAAAGCTATTAGCAGCATTAAATAGCGAAACGTCAGTGAACAAAACAATATCGTTTTGTTTTTCATTCATTCATTGGGAAATACAAAAAACCTTTATTATATCAGTGATAGAGATTTAATGAAGGATGGGAGAAGAAAATACTATGCAATTAAGTGAAAAGACGAAACGGGAATTACGTAATTGTTGTTAAGTTAGGTCAGGTCCACTGTCGATTTAATGACTGAACAAACTGCTTTCGTATGCAAAGTTCAGGTTTATAAAGCATGTGAATTGCCCATTGCTTCCGCGCTGTTTGAAGAAGTTTGATTCGTACTCTTTTGGCAAGATTCCCACGTAGGCACATGTAGATGACGAGTACCAAATAGGACGAAATGCTCATCCTGGATTCCACTGCTAGTCACCATCCACCAGTTAACTTTTAAATTCCCACGCATTCTGTAGATGACTTTGAAGTTACTTCGTGGGTTTGCTTGGTGTTCTGATTCGATCAGATGTTCCAGAATAGAGCTTTGACGGGAGGGGGGCTATTTTGTCCTTTATAATACCATGACTATGGGTAATTGTTCGGTGATACGTTTGGATAGCAAACCCTGGGTACAGCGGACATGAGCATTTGAAACTACTCGAATTCTTGACAGCCTTTTGCGTGAACTGACTTACCCACTGACTGGTTTAAACGTTAAACTTTGCACTGAAGTGCAGCATTTTGAGTCACCACGCTTCACTTAGCACACAAAACAAGAGAAGAGTGTAAAGAGAAATTCAAAAGAGAAAAAGAGATAACAAACAAGTATGAGGCAAAAAACAGTAATAGGGAGGAACAAGAGAATTTTATGGGATATTATAAATCACAAAGAGTGAATGCATCTGCACCAGCCATTGAGAACGATTTTGAGCGATATCATCAATTGTCTCCAGCCATTGGTTTTTACCACCTTTAGGAACTCATTTAGTCAGGCACTCTACACCTCCCTACATGGCTGGCTGGCTTAAACTAGCTGTTGCGGATTTCACTGACTGATGAAGCCATGTTTTGGTTTGACTACCACTGGCTTTCTCTTTTCCAACCTTATCAATCCTATGTCAGTCAGCTAATCGATGTAACTTCACGACGTCGTCAACTGATTTGCCCTCCTTAACTGACACTCGACCGACGCCTAACCTCAATATAACTCATCCTATTATACTACCTAACACGAGAGATGGGACACTGATACCTGTGATCAAAGACAACTAGCCAGGCTTTTCATGTCTTCTACTTTCACTGACCAGGTCTCACAGCCATAAAAAAGGATGGAGTGAACTGCTAAGCAGTACACACGTCCTTTGGTCAACAGCGAGACACCACGTCTATGCCTGAGGTGGCGTAAGTTGACATATGCGAAACTCGCCTTCTGTATCCGTGCTGAGATTTCGTCAACGATCAAACCGTTGGCGTTGGCTGATGCAACTTCCGAAATAAGTGCAGTGGTCAACGCGCTCCACCACTTCACTCCCTATTTCTAAGCTAGAAGTGAGTCAATGTAGTCTAGTCCTGTAGCTTTGCGTGAACTGTTAATGCCTCAAATTAAAGTGTCAATTTTGTAAATTGATTCGCTGTTTGTACCTCGAAGTGTATAAATTTCGCATCGTGGATTAATTTGAGAATTGTGAATTTGGTTTAAACTTACTCGATTTGCATTGAACGTATCACTATCTCTGATTGTCATAGAAACTAGTTATTATTACTATTATTTTTCTTTCTATTATAAACAGAAGGATTATCGATGTTTTGTTTCGCCTTAATTTCATTTCTAATCAGCTTTTCTTTTTTTTTTTTCTCCAAAAAAACTGAGATCATTTTCATGTTTGTTTTAATTCCAAATAGAATTACAACAAAAGTTGAAAAATCTTAAAAAGCATATTGATTCTATAACAAGACAAATTACCGAGTTGAACAATGAACGACAAGAGCTTCAAGCAGAATATGATAAGGTAACATTTTCATATTATATGATTACGTAATGCCTTTCTTTTGATATGTTTAACCTGATAAATTTACTTGTATGACTAGTAGTTGAGATATACTTGGGAACAAGACAATAGACAGGGCGAATAATACAAGACAATTTTCTTCGACTTTGGTAATATATGGTTGGAAGCAATTTACGGCGGAGCCCTCGACTTGTGCTTCGTATCTATCGACATTCGTCAGTGCAACCGTGAAGGAAGTGATTCAAATTCACAGTACTCGTTTCTGTAGTTAGCGGTGTTACTATTGTTATGTTTAGACCGCGACTCACATTTTATGCGAATGTAATGATGAGTGTATTGATTGGCTGTTTCAGCTTCCCTAATGTAATTTTTTTTTCTAGCTTGATTCTGCACAGTATTTGTGGTACAAGTATGGAATTTTCAGCATCTGATATCGGTAGCCCAAATTTCTCAGGCCGACCGATTGATATCAGGTGTGCTTCGGCATGGAATCGAACCCCGGACCATTTGCATAGTCGGCGAGAGTCCTAATCGCTGTGCCACCGATTCACAGGCAATCGAAAGGAACCCTTGGACCTAGGTTTCGTACTTGTTGGCACTCAGCAGTCAGCATGGTGTGTGTATCTGTAGTCTTGAAGAAACTCATGTCCCTACTGGGAGGTCGAATCGAGGTCACCTAGTGCCGCAGTCAGAGATGTTACCAGCACTGAGCTATTTGGGCTCGCGATTAACCTCCTGTAGGAATGTGATGTATACTTTGATTGGACACTAGGTATTAACTAATGTCATGTTGTCTAATCAATAGTGTTCACTTCTATCACTTTACTTTGTTCTACTGGTAAGAATTAGAGATGATTACAAGTTGTTTTACCGAGCCTTACTCATATGTAGTGAAACCAACATAGTGACATCAAGTGTAGAACGTTTCACAAGAAAGGTAAATCAGTTAGAGAACCACTGGAAAACCTGGGAATACTGGACAGCTGTTTCGTCATAGTACTCTCAGGTTTTCCAATGGTTCTGTAACCGATGTCAGCTCATGATGAAATCCTTCAACCAATCAAACAAAATCCCGACATAACCAATACTTGAAAAAGTAAATTAAATGATGAGTTTGCTAAGTGTGGAATGTGATACCTCTGAAATACATGTCGCGTCGGTGGCACAGCGGTTAGGACGCTCGCCGACCATGCACACGGTCCGGGGTTCGATCCCCGGCCGACGCACTCCTTTACCTCGCTAAGCCAGAAATAAAAGCAGGTGAAGAGGAAAGGTTGGGCATAAGGCTGGCTAGCAACCCCATCCTGTAAAATAAACACTGCTACAGAAACTTTAAGACACTAGCTTGAAGCCCTATGTTCTACTGGGGAACGTGAAGGAAAAAAATAGCAAGTGGGTTAGTGGAGTGATGGTTCATCGACTTAGACACTCAACTTCAGACCAGCGAGTCGCGAATTAAAGCCCTTCTCCACTTACCTAGGTTTAGGCATTCAGGTAGTTTCACTACACACACACACACACACATACACAATACATGTGGCTCGTTGCTAACTGCATGAAATTACAAGTAGCTTTTGGGTAACATTTCATCCCTTCATATCATTACGAGACTTTTGCATGACTCAATCTGAAGAGTGGGATTGAGTGACTAATCTGAAATGTATCATAAGTCAGTGAAACGGCTGTTTGTCAGTGTACTACCATGTAATAATAATAAATAAATAAATAAATTTTCAAGTATTAGTTTTGTAGGGATTTTGTTTGATTGGTTGTAGGATTCCATCATGAGCTGACATCAGTTAGAGAACCATTGGAAAACCAGCTGGGAGTACTGGACTGCTGCGTACTGCTGAAAAGTCCCACACTAGGCTGACGAAACAGCTGTCCAGTACTCCCAGCTGGTTTTCCAATGGTTCTCTAACTGATGTCAGCTCATGATGAAATCCTCCAACCAATCAAATAAATAAATATCTTTACTCTCAACACGGTGTACACGGTGTTTATACAGTGTTCAGAATTCTCAGCATAATTTATTGCATGATATTTTCTCCTCACCCAGGATCTTCAAGTAAACCAGCAGTATATATGTCACGTGACGCAATGCTTTTATATCTCAAGCATAGACTAATCCCTTATGATGTTTCTCCTTCGTCTTCGCAACGTGCGCACTGGTAGTTTGAAAACCAATAGAAAATGTGCATTGAGTACATTTTGCGACTCAACAACCTAACTGAATGGTTAAAGACAGTAGGAAGTCGAGAAAAATAAGATGCACTGTGTTACGTAGCGTTGTGATTCAAGTAGACCGCCAATTTGTCTTTATTGTTTATCTATACTAAAATGGATAATATAGACAATCGATAGTTTGCTTCAAAACTGTTTAGAATATTTCATTCGTAGAAAATATTTCGAATACTTCTTATTCTGCTTTCTTCTATAGTTGAAATCCCAACTGCAAACAGTTCGTGTTCAAGAGATTTCAAGAGATTGTCAAAGTGCATCGTCTGAATATGCTTCAACAACAGCTACACCCAAGATATTCCCTTGGACAGATGAAGTGAATCGTGTGAAGAAAGAAATTTTTGGCATTTCTGAATTTCGTCCGCTACAAATTACAGCTATCAATGCTTTATTAGATGGTCGTGATGTTATCTTAGTCATGCCTACAGGTAGACATTTTTCTCATATGCATATATTATATTCGTGAGTAATATTTTTACAGTATTGGATCTGGTTGATCCAGGTCAGACCCCAAACTGACATTATTTAGAGAAGTTTTTGATAACTAGGGATTACTGGATAACTGTTTCGCCCTGATTACGGATTCCTCAGCGGTGCGCTCATTCATGACCACACCATGACTGGAATCTAGAACCTTCAGGTTACAAGGCGAGTTCGCTAACCACGTGGATGTCAGGATGGAACCGAATTATCCGTGAATTCTAGCTTCTGTTAATTCGCGGTATACACCGTGACCAGCAACCAATGTATATTGGCGAGTATTTCTTCACACCGCATACAACTTTATGGACCCTGCTGGTCACTTCAGTCAATTTCATCCTGTAATCACTCACTAGTGAGCACTATTTAACATTTGCTTGCTATCAGCCTGTTGTTTTGTTTCGTTTAATCTTAGTTCCTGGAACACGTCTGGCTGTGAGCTACACTTATTGTGTGAACGAAAGTTAAATGAAGCCGTTGGTTCCTATGACCCTTGCAAAATTGATGATACTGATATAGAAACCAAGTCTGGAGTTAAGTATGTAGGATTAATTCTTTCTTCTGACCTATCCTGGTCTTCCCAGACGTCTTAGCAATTTCTAAAAAAATATTTCGTCTGACTTTTTACATTAAGAAGTTAAGGCACTCAGGCATAACTCAACCCCTCCTCCTCTTACAGTTTGTCAACTCGCGTATTTTACCTATTCTTCTTTACTGTTCACCCTTATTCTTTCCCGGGTGGCTTAAAAAAGACTAGGTCATACTTCGTAGAACTCTGAAGACTGTCAGTAGGACGAGTGGTATCCCATTGGGCCATATCGTTGACATTGTCACTGATAGGCTACTTGATGTCATGCAACAAATTTTCTAAAGGAATTTTGTCGGACTGTGAGCAACCACTCTACCCGCAGCTCCAACCTTGTGTCTCCTCAGGTAAAACAAGAAGTCTTTTCAGAAGACTTTATGCACGTACGTCTTAGTATAAAAATTCCACTATACCATACTTGGCACGTACTTTGTGATGAAAATAGTGTCAGGCATGAACTAACTAACCTTCTTTGCACTACTAAATAAACCATTTCCTCCACACTTACAACATCAAACTTATTGTTATTGTATTTCTTATATTTATAATCCTCTCAATTTTTGTTTTTGTTTATTTTTTCATAAGTGTGAACATCATTTAAGCTGTGTTATAACTGTTAATTTTGTATTTCCCCTCACTATACTATATCAACAGAACATTAGATTCAATAATCTATAACATGCTAAAATTTCCAAACTGAATCGACAATACTGTTTGAAACGAACTCACTATTATTATTATTATTATTATTATTATTATTATTATTATATTTAATATTCTCAATTAGTGCTTCGAATATTTTTGACTTTATACCGTAAATGTGGACAAATCCCTCTGGTTAATTTTGTTTTAATTTATTATTTTACATATATCGTGACAAATGCTGAGAATCCCATTCTGTATTATAAGTACTGTTTTTGGAATAAAGTAGATTATTATTATTATTACTATTGCTATCACTCAGTTGCTCAGGCTGAAGTAGGTAGAGCAGGTTTTGGGCAAAGTTAAGCTTTAAGCATCCTCTAACTACCAATTAGCGAATGACCTTGAACTCACCAATCACATGAAGGAGGCATTTTTGGTTATGGAAAACATATGTTTATGAGAAAAAAATGCATAAAAAACTGCATAAAACTGTTACACAGGATACCTTTCTCTGACATTTGATAAAAAGATCTCCCAGTTGAGCATAGGAGTACCAACTGGAAAGTTACACCACATTCCATACATATATTCATCTAAATCACTATAAATTACATAGTTTTGAGATTCGTTAATGACCCTAATCCTGCTTTTTAACCTTCCCCAAAAGCCTTTATAGAACTGATGTGTGTCCCTGTAATGGGATCCACCAAATCATTAGAATGGTTCACTCTGTGGTGAATATATCCAAGGGATGACGGGTAGTTATAACGTTTCCACTAATCCACGTGTATGATGACACCTTCGTCTCTAAATAACGAAGTAATTCTCTCCATTTTCCATGACGCGATATCCCTGCAATGCTAGTAGCACTGAACTGCAGATAGGAGACTATTTTCTCTATTTCAGCAGCTACACCTGTCACAGGCTGTTTTAAAACCCACTAACTACAAATATACGAAACCTGGGTTGAGGACAAGTGGAACTTGGCAAAATTTGCTCCTACGAAATATTAGAGTCATCAGCTTACCTTCCCTGACATTTGACTCGAATCAAGCGGAATAGAACCTTCAACTCACGTGGATGAAACTCATTGGGCCATTCAAGGTCATTCGCTGATTGGTAGTTAGTGGTGCTTAAAGTCTAACGTGGTCGGGTTTTGAACCCCAGGACTCAGTGGGCTGGTGCTCTGTATCTATATGGAATTGGGCTATTAGGTTCTGTCCCATTGGTCAGTGGTTTGCCTTATAATTCGCAGGTCCTGGATTCGATCCTTGGTGAGGTCATGGGCGTGCACCGATGAAGAGTCCTATGTACGGCTGAAACAGCTGTTCATTACTTCCTGATTAGCAATAGTTCTCTCGCTGAAGTCAGTCCTTGATTGTTCATTATGTCCTGGTTTTGTATCTTCCACAATTCATGGACACATTCTACTGAAAGAGTGCTGAACTTAGAAGAAACAGCTGTTGAATGATTATCGATTTTCCTCTGTGATTGTTTACCGTTTCGTCACTTACAAACCCTAATAGCATTGATTTTTTAAAAATGGTTTTTACCCACAACATTTACATTTTAGGTGCTGGAAAAAGTTTAGTCTACCAATTACCGGCACTACTTAATCTCGATGCATTTAAAGTGGATGGACGATGTTTTGGTTCAGTTACACTGGTGATTAGTCCACTAGTCTCTTTAATGGTAGATCAATCGATCAATTTAACAAAATATGGTCTTGCATCAGATACCATCGCTGTTTTGGATGCAAGTACACCATTGCCAGAACAACGTAGAATTCTTTCATTGCTTGCAGAGAAACCGGTTAGTTGGTTTTTTAAATTATTTATTTTTTTGAGTACTATTATGATTTTCAACTCTAATGTGAAGTCAGTGCTACTGTAAAGAAGAAAAGACCGAGGAGGTTGAAAGGAATGTTTATTTGGTGAAACGTATTGTACATAGCTAAATTTGGTATACCATATTCTCAACCTGCCATTTGCACATCATTTACCACATCCTTGATGAATTGGTCGAATATCGTCACATTCGATAGCTTCTTGGATTCTGCATCATATGGCAACATTCTTCTCATGGTTCTCTTCTTTGATTGCTCTTTCCAGTGTGCAAAACATATTGTTACTTTTCTGAATTAGTTTCTGATATACTACTCACATCGGATTATAAGTAGCACTCACCACACTACTATAAGGATCAGAGACTTGGCACGTCATAAAGAGCATCTCAAACAAACTACAGACCTTCATTAATAGTTGTCTTCGCTCAATACTCAAGATCACATGGCCGGACAGAAAAGATCAGCAACAGAGATCTCTGGGAGAGAACCAACCAGGAACCGATTGTGAAACAAATAGGCAGGAAGAAATGGGAGTGGATTGGCCATACTCTGAGGGAACCATCAAGTGACATCACTAGACAAGCCATCGCTCGAGTGGAACCCGAAAGGGAAGCGGCGAGTTGGTCGTCAGTACAAGGGTGACTTGAACGAGGTCATGAGAAGAGGAGATGAAAACGTGTGGGCAGACTTGGAGCCAGGTGAAGACTCTAGCAGAGAACCGAACGCAATGGAGACGTGCGGCTGAAGCCCTATGTTCCTCTAGGAATTAAAGAAAACAATAATAAGAATAATTGTTGTTTTCTTTTTCTTCTACTTTGTTGGTGTGACAAGTTGGCTGAAGCACTCAACTTTCGGTCAGTAAGTGGTTCAAGGTTTGAATCTTGCTACGTCTACTTCATTTTCGGCGAATGGACAGAGTACCATAGGCCCTCAAACACAATAAGTCTAATAGATCACTCGTTACACCGGATAACGGTGTTCATTTAACCAGTGACCTACCGTTTTTTTTTACATTAGTTCATTATGTATATTATTCTTTGGAACTTAGCAACACTATTGGTTATAATTTCTCGATCAATGATTTCCCACGTCGATCTTGTAATCCAGGGATTAGACTACTGCCTCGAATCGTCCCATGATGAAAGTTTTCATTTCAATTGTTGTTTCTGTTCCCTGATTAATTAAAGTTGCAACTTAGTCTTATAGGATTTTAGATGAAGAAGAATTAAAACAATTAGTTCCCTTTATGAATTTGTCTGAAGGAAGGACTCATCGATCTCTGCAAGTGAGGGCTTCATAGCATATTCCTAAATGGCTCTAAAAACAAATGGAATCTTCAGAACCCATCAATGGTGAGAACAGGAGAACAGGAGACCTAGCTCTTCTATTGCGAAACATATTATAGAGAAAGGACATAAAATTGACGTTAACAGATCTTTTAAACCTATCTATAAAACGTGTTTGGGGCGTATCCTAAAGTTTGTGGAAGCCCTAGATGGCAATTAGGAAGTTTAAACCACCTTTATGCGTTCAAAGCAACAATTCGTCATCACACTAAACCTACCTTCCTTGGTAAACTTTGTTTTCATACCAGCTAGGATAGATGTACTATTACCTTTCTTAATTGGTTTAGTGGTCTTCATTGTTATTCTCACCTTAAATAAGTCCTTTCAACTTGACCTATGTCTTTTTTCTCACCTCTCATCTCTTTATTAATTTCATGTATATTCCTATGACGAGTCCGTGTGTGATGGATCAGATTGTTCGAAATGTGTTGTGCGCGCAAATACACATTACACGATTCAGACAAATTACGTCTTCTTATTGCTTTATCTGAAGAAGAATTAGTTACAGGATTTCATCATGAGCTGATATCAATTAGAGAGAGAACCACTGGAAAACCTGAGAGTACTACTACACATCTGTTTCGTCCTAGTGACCACTCAACCCTACTATGTCAGGTTGCATTGCTTGTCGAGGGAAGGCAGTGGTTTGGCATGCGCATTACGTGTCCCAACCACCTCGATCGATTTACTTATCCTCCTCACCTAATTAATACTCTACACCTAACTTCAATATCGCTCACCATATTATACTCCTTCACACGGTAGATAGAACGCAAACATCTGTCGTCGAAGACATCCTAGCATTTTCATATCTTTCATTTTCGGTGACCATCTCTTACAGCCATAAATGAGGACAGAGCTAACTGTTGTTGTATGGTACACATGTAGCCCAAGTGGTTAAATGGTCAGCTTATTCACCTCGTAACTTAAAGGTTCCAGTTTCAATCCTTGGTGGGTTCGTGGGTGTACACTGTTGAAGAGTCCCAAACTAGTACCAAACATCTATTTAGCACTCTTTGGTCTATCACTAAATATCACTTTTGACTGCTCAAAAATTTCAAACTAGAATGTAAGAAATATCAAACTTTCTGTGGTTTTGAATATTCTTTTGTCTGTTGGCTGCTTTAATATACAATGTTTAATGTTTCTATCCTTAATTCTTGCTTATTTTCATGTTTTTTTTTAAATTTCAAGATACGTATATTTTTATGCATTTGAATGAATCGAGGGGTTAGTTTCTAAACCTATTGCCTCCTTTTTCTCATTTGTCTTTATTTTTTTTAGACCAATAAAAAAGAGATCTCGTCTACATCGAATCTACGTCTACTCTATGTAACACCAGAGAAGTTAGCTAAAAGTAAACTGTTGTTGAATCGTTTAGAGTTGGCTTATACCACACATCGGCTGGCGTGTATTGCAATCGATGAAGTTCATTGTGCTAGTCAATGGGGTCATGATTTTCGACCAGATTATAAATTTCTACATGTTCTACGTCGACAATTTCCCAGTGTACCAATCATTGGATTGACAGCGACTGCATCAGCTCAAGTTATTGTAGATGTACAGAATATGCTGGGTATTAATAGCGATAAGTGTTTAGTCCTGAGAACTAGTTATAATCGAGAAAATCTGAATTATTACGTGAGTCATTCAGAAAAATGCTTTTTTATTGTATATTAAAAAAAAACTACATATATAGTCATCTCTTTCAAGTTTGACGATGCACTGGTATTAGTTGGTGAACTATTGGAAACCAGGGAATTACTGGGTAGCTGTTTCGTCCTAGTTTAGGGCTCATCGACAGCCTGCTCTCACTAGGGTTCGAATCCAGGACCTTCTGGTTACAAGGCAAACCTAATGGTCTACGAGCTAGCTCGCCTTGTAACCAGAAGGACCTGGCTTAGAACCCCGGTCTGTCTGTCTGTTTTCAACATAGAACTTTGCACATATGTGCGGCAGTTCAAGTTGCCACACTCCATGCAGCACACAAAGCAAGACAAGAAAGTAGAAGAAATGCATAATAGGGAGAGTGGACAAGGATATGAGATAAAGGAATAGTAATAACGAAGAACAAAACAGTTTAATTGGAAATCATAAGTCACAAGGAGTGGATGCATCTGCGCCATTGAGAACGATTTTGAGCCATGTCACCAATTGTTTCCAACCATTGGTGTTTACCGTCCCGAGGACCCCAACCAGTCAGGAAGTCTACACTTTCCTACGTGGCTTAAACTAACTGTTGTGGTTTTGATTGACTGGTGCCATGTTTCGGTTTGACCACCGCTAGCTCTTTTCCAGTCTGACCCTATGTCAGCTAACATTGCCCATTGTCGAGGAAGGCGATGACTAGGCTGGGCATGCGTAGCACATGTCCTAACCACCTCAGTCGATGTAATTTCACAGTCTCGTCGACTGATTTCCCCTCCTTACCTAGTACTCGACGCCTAACCTCAGTATCGCTCACCTTATTATACCACTTCACACGGGAGATAGAACGCAGGCACCTATGAACCCCGGTGGGTGCGTACTGATGAAGAGTCCCAAAGTAGACTGACGAAACAGCTGTCCAGTACTCCGTGCAGGTTTCCCAAGGGTTCTATAACTGATGTCAGCTCATGATGAAATCCTCCAACATTTTGATTCATTTCGATGACTTCGATGATTCTTATGGCTCCTAGGGGAGATAATATATTACTATCTGTCACTATCAACTGTCAAAATAAGAGTTGAGAGAGGCAGTGTGTCCCGTGTTTGAATCTCACTATGTCTACTCCATTCCAAGGCAACTAAGTTGTATAATCCTCCTCCACACAATAAGTGTCGCTCATAACTTAGTACATCCAAAAATCTGTTCCTGCTAATGGATTCTGAACTAGCTAAATAATACATACATTGGGCAAAGTCTAACTTTGAACACATCTAAGAGGTGTGGCTGCATCAGTCGTCTTGGAATGAGCCATTGTGCTAAACAACAATTTTGGCCCCTTACCCTAATTCTTTGCCTAACCTAATTCTAATCTATGCCCAGCGTAAAACTAACCAGGTATCCTATTTAATGTTGTCACACTGCCATGCTCTGAATTAAGTGTTTCAAAGCCATTGTTATCTTTGAACCAAAGAAAGCCAGGCTGAATGTGATCAAGAGTACACAAATTTATGATCCAATCAACAAGGCTTGAATAGTAGGCGTTAACAGCATGCCGAATTCTGTGATTGGTTGACGTCTGTCATGTGTGATAGCCAACATTTGATTTTGTTTTTATCTAACCAGCAGACTAAATGAGATCGATTGTGGACAAATATATCAGACTGACAGACAAATCAGATAGTTTTTAGGTATATATCAGCCACATAGCCCTAGAAATTACACACACGTATTTTTACATTAATCAATAATTTACTAGTTTACGACATAGGAACTTTGTTTTTATTGCTAAGAGCGTACTGGCTAAGATCCACTCGCTTGACCTTCACGTAGAGAGATCATTGAAAATTACGGAACATTGGGCAGCTGTTTTGTTCGTCATATTTTGGGACTACTCCTCATCGTTGCGCACCAATGACCCCGTCAGAGGTGGAACTCGATACCTGCAAGTTATGAGACCAAGTTTGTTGACCACTCAGCCGCTTAGGCCAGGATTCAGTGGCCCACGGGCCAATTTAAACTTTAAGAACCACTGACTAGCAATGGAATGCGACCGCGCCGATGACCTTGAGACACTCACTGAGCAAGTTAGTCAAACCTGGCAAATAATGTTGTCGTCATCCCTAAAATGTGCTCATCGAAGTGTTATGTTATTAAATGGGATATCTGGCTAGTTTCAGCTTAGGTTTGGGAAAGATTAATTTACGGTTTAGGCCAAGGAAAAGTTAGGTTTAGGCGAACCTAATAAAGGCGACAGTAGGTTTGGTTCGAGTTAGAGATTACGGTTAGTGTAGGGATATTTTCACGTTAGGGTTACGTTCAGGAAACATTAGGGTTATTGTTAGGGTTAGGAGACCTAAATAATTACATGCATAGAATGTGGTTGAGTTACTCTGTTAATATAAGAATAGAACTTGTACACTGTGGTGGTAGAGTATAATTCCATTGTGGGTAAAATTTATTTTGATAAGGTCTCACACAGTGTTATACAGTAATACTTGCTGGTGATGACGTTTCGAGCACAGTTTATTGCCCAGTAAATATTATTCAGTAACACTGTGAAACTTTATCAAAATAAGTTTTACCTACAATGGAGTTATACTATGTTGATACTTTAGCCTAAAACTGGGAGCTATTTTTATCACATGTGAGAGAAACGCATTCTCCGTAACACTTTTCTACAGTTTTTATGCATATTTTTTCATAAATATATGTATTGCATACACAAAAATACCACCTTCACGTGACTGGTGCGTTCGAGGCCATTCGCTGATTAGTAGTTAATGGTGCTTAAAGTTAAACTTTGCCGGCCTATTAATTCTAACTTTGTTGGTTTGTGACATAGAGCTGCCCTCACCAGTGCTTTCAATGAGCATCCACTTCGCCTAGACATGGTGGACCTCACTGGTCACGACTTCACACTGCAGCTTTTGGGAATCTATCAAGTAGCTCAAGTGTTGGTTTTCAGGTGTTTCGATTGATTTCATGTTAGAACATTAATTGACATTATAGTTAGAGAATTGATTGAAAACCAACATTTATACGACAGTGGTTTCGTCCTAATTTGAGACTCTTCTACTTCACTACACACCCAGAAAATACTGATTACAAGCCGAACCACTGGGTGGAATCCAAGGGTCCATGAATTCTAACATCTGGTAATTCGCTATGTATAGCGCCACTACTGCCAACCAATGTCATCTACAAGTGTCTGTTCTCACATGTGGTTTAGTGAACTCTACCGGTCACGACTTTTCATCACTTGAATTCTATGATGTATTCTTCCTGTAGTCAGTTAGCAGGGAACATTAGATTCATTTCCAAGTGTTGATTTGCAGAAATTTGGTTGAAGTCGAAGCCTACGAAAGCTTCGTAATTAATACAACATCCAGCTCACAGAACACAACGTTTACTAAAGGTATCCACCTAAGCTACAAGTCATCTCCATTATTTCAACACACTCACTCTTTATATTTGTTGGTCTAATAATAAAGATCTAAGTAGCAGTTAGGTATACGCATTTGCTTTGACAGACTGTCGGATCGGCACTTTAGTGCTTTTAATTCTGGTACGGTTTAACCTTCCATTTCACTTCAAATCATCTGGTGACTGACTGAGTTGTAATAGAGAACTTTGGACAGAGGTTCAAAGGATCTATACTTATCAGCAGTGTGTGAGAGATTACAAAGAGTGATGAATGCATCTCCGCCACTGAGAACGGTTTTCAGCCAATATCACCAACAGTCTTCAAAATATTGGTTCTTAGCACTCCGTGGACCACGGCCAGTTGATCTACACCTTCCTAAACAACTTACCCCAACTGACTGGTTCCAACCGACTGGTTTCAACGTAAAACTTTGCACCGATGTACAGCAGTTCGAGTGATCATGCTTCACTTAGCACACAAATCATGAAAGAAGAAAGAAATGCAAAACAGAGACAGTAAACAGAGAAATGAGGCAAAAAGAATAGTAATATGGTAGAACCATATAGTTATGCTGGATATTATAAGTTTCAAGGAGTGGATGCATCTGCGCTATCATTGTAAACGATTTTGAGCCAAATCACCAATTGTCTCCAGCCTTCATTGGATTTTACCGTCCCGTGGATGGCAAACTGATGACAGGTTTTGGTTTTTTTGACCACCTGTAACTCTTTTCCAAGCTAAACTGATGTCAGCTAACATGTCTGGGCGTGGAAAGAGGTGTCTAGACATGCGGAGCATATATTGCAACCACCTCAGTCTCTATAGCTTCACAAACTCATTGAATGACTTTCCTTCCATGCCTAGCACTCCATGTCGAACCTGAATATTGCTCACTACATTATGCCACTTACCGCGGGAGATAGACACCTTCAGTGATCACTTATTGTGTAAATAATTAGGTATAATAATAATAATAATAATAACTTAAGGCTTCCTTCATTTTTCTCTCTGTCTCAATATAACTTTACTCAGGTAGAAACAGTGAGTGGATCAACCAAATCAACTGTTAGTTACTTGTATGAATTAATCAGTAAGAAGTATTCGAACAAATCAGGTATGTGAAATGTTTAAATTGCTTTTTCAAAGCGGGTTTTATTTTAGAATTTATATTTGGCGCGTACTTTATTTATTCGCTTAAATTGAACATTCATGTTCAGTGTTTTCCGATTGTTTAAACAGACTGATTTTGTGAATGAATGTCAAGAGTTTAAAATATTCAGTTGTCTTGGGAGTAAATTGTATCACCGCTAGAAAGCCCAAAAATGGTCTAAAAGAACATTTAAATTTGTGCGCCAGTGGCTTATTCGTAGAATCTCTTCCAGTCACCCTAGCGGTCCGGGTTTGATTGCCAGCCGAAACAGTCCTATATCTTCACCTACCGCAATAGTAAACTGGAAGAAGAGTTACAGTTGGGCATAAGACTAGCGACCGGTCGGCACTAAAACGCCAAAGCCTAAACCCTTATGTAAGCGCAATATCGCTTGAAATTAAGTCACGCGTAGATATAGGCTATCCCGGTCCAGAACAAACAAGACGCCGGTCACTGTTTCTACGCGTGACTTAATTTCAAGCGATATTGCGCTTACAGTACTTAACGCTCAAAGCCGGAAAAGACCTTACTGAACTGGTCAGTACTTAACGTATAGAGTTAAAGTTATCCGGATCAGCCCTTGACGGAAGAGACCGTACTGAACTGGTCAGTACTTATCGCCTTGACACAAAATCCCGTACTGAACTGGTCAGTACTCAACGTCAAACAGAAAATCCCGTACTGAACTGGTCAGTACTCAACGTTCATCCAGAAGAAACTTTGGTGAATCGGCAGCACGAAACGTTGTTGAAAATACACTTTCTTTGGAACAATGCAAACCAGATCAGGGAAACGAATTTCGGAGCAGTTGGAGAGTCAGCAAGTCCCCGTTTGTATAAATGGTCATGTTGATAATCTTTCGTGCCCCGGCTCTCATGTCAGTAGGTCGAAACCATCATTATCGCGAGTAACTAGTGCTAAGTCGTCGCTACTAAGGGAGCAGCTAAAGGAGAAACAGCTTCGAGAGGAGTTAGAGTTAGAGAAAAAGTTGCTAAAGGCTAGACATGATGTCGAAATGGCCGAGCTGCATGTGAAGTTAGCCGTGGACGACAAACGGAACATTGGAAATACTAAAAGAGGCACTGTCAACTACTCTCGAATCAGCGGAGATAGTATCAAAGACGACATCAGAAGGCCATATGAAGCTGAGTTTAGGGATATTGAAGAAAACGAACACTCATTTTCTATCGAAGATCGTAAGGCAATCAAGTTGGTTACTCAAAACACCGTCTTAGGAAAGAGGCATTACATCATTCCCTTGCCATGGAAAGATCCAGCAAAGGTAACGGACAATAATTATGTAGTTGCCATAATTCGGTTACTCAGTCTGAAATGGAACCTTTTAGCACGATATGTGGATGGGATAAATACGATGTTAAAAAATGGTTATGCCCTTCCGGTACCCCTAGAGCAGCTAGCAGCCAACTATCGCCCGAGGTGGTATCTTCCACATCATCCCGTAAAGAAACCGAAAAAGCCAGATAAACTGAGAATAGTTCTAGATTGCGCCGCAACTTTTATAGGCTATTCTTCGAACGATAAGCTATATGAAGGACCTGATACGATTACCGAGCTTGTTGGTGTTCTGTTGCGCTTTCGAGAAAAGCCTATTGCTGTAGTCGCGGACATAGCTGATATGTTTATGCAAGTGAAGGTGCCAGTAGACGATCGACGAGCATTACTATTTCTGTGGTGGAAAAATGGTTTTCTAGACGAAGAGCCGCAGGAGTTTCAGATGACAGCGCATCTGTTCGGGGCAACTTCATCACCCTTCTGTGCGAACTTCGCGTTGAAAAAGGCAGTAGAGGACTTTGGTTGCTTATTTCCGGAAACAGTAAGAGATATAGTACGGCACAATTTTTATGTCGACGACTGCGTGGCATGCTTTGAGGATGTTGAGACCGCCAGTAGGTTTATCACTGACGTAAGTGATCTGCTAAGTCATGCAGGTTTCCGACTGCATAAATGGATTGCTAACCGGGCAGAAGTATCAAAATCGGTAACGCTAAAGGAGCCTACCCCGACGTCTCGATTCATCAATGGCGATACAGTGAAGGTAGAACGTACGTTGGGTTTAGAATGGAACTCGGAGATAGATTGCTTTGTTTTCCCCTTCAAAATCCCGCGAAAACATGTTACAAGACGTGGCATTCTATCAGTAGTATCTTCTATCTTTGATCCACTTGGGATACTGTCGCCACTGTTGCTTCCGGCAAAGCTGATGTTACAGTCACTCTGCAAACAAAATATGGGATGGGTTCAGTCATTGTCCTCACAAAAGGAGGGAGTCTGGCAGAATTGGATAGGCGGCGTGGAGAGAATAGCGGCTTTGAGAATCCCTAGATGTATTGGACGCAATTGCGACTCTGAAAACTGGACCCAACAGTTACATATACTATGTGATAAGGCAGAAGTAGAACGCCTATTGAATCATCGACCGCTTGTACCATCAACATCGGATAGTAGAGATCATCTAACTCTCAAGCCAAATCACCTACTATCGGTCTGTCGAAACATAAGTATGGAGACTCCATCAGACCCTGGAAGAGAGCCGGGCACGAAGGTTATTCGGTGTAATATGATTCATAAAATCCTAGTCGGATTTTGGGGGCTGGTGTAAGATGAATTCAATTCCCATCCTTAAATCAAGTCAACCTGTCCCGGATCAGCCTAGCGTTGTTGCAACCTAATTATCCATGCCCAACGTGTCTATCCCACTTTGTTTAATGAACTGTGTGTGTGTGTTTACTTCGATCTGTTTAGTCAGACAGTTGAACGCATGACCCAATCAGAGTATTTTTGTGAACTGTTATTTTGCTGACCCATGCCTTATTTTGTACTATTCTGTCGAGTTTATCTTATTTACTGATTGGTTAAGTAGCCAATTAAATTCTATCTTTGTACCTATGCTCTGTCTATCTCTTACTTGGGTTCATTCTTCTACTGACTGCCTACCTGAACCGTCGTGTCTGATCCGGCTAGTTCTTAATTTTGGCTTTAACGTTATTCCGCTGTGATAGCGGTTCCTTGCTTTCTGTTAAGCATTGTGTATTGTACTCTTGAAACCGTTAAGTACTGTAAGCGCAATATCGCTTGAAATTAAGTCACGCGTAGAAACAGTGACCGGCGTCTTGTTTGTTCTGGACCGGGATAGCCTATATCTACGCGTGACTTGATTTCAAGTGATATTGCGCTTACACCTTATGTTCCACTCAGAACGCGTGGAACGAAAAGGAAACATTTGAATCTATCGTCTTCGAATGATTCTCACATCAAGACCATGATTGTTATAATAGTTTTATTGACATTCAAGCTTTATTACTCACTTACATACAATAAGTGGTTCACTTTTACCATGATTTTTCAACATTAACATTATTTTGGGAAATATCATTTACCTTTACAGTATCACATAAATTGTGTTTAGAATGAATTATTATTATTATTACTGCTCCCTTTAATTCCTAGAGGAACATAGAGCTTCAGCCGCACGTCTCCACTGCGTTCGGTTCTCTGCCAACCTTTTCACCTGGCTCCACGTGTTTACACACGCTTTCATTTCCTCTTCGCATGGCCTCCTCCTCCATGTCATCCTTCGACGACCAACTCGCCGCTTGCTCTTCGGCTTCCACTTGAGCGATGACCTGGCGTGTGATGTTACTTGATGGTTTTCTCGGAGTCTGGTTAATCCACCTCCATTTCTTCCTGCTTATTTGTTGCACAATCGGTACTTGCCGGGTTGGTTTTCTCTCGGGGATCCCTGTTGCTGATGTTTTCTGGCCATCCGATCTTGAGTAGCGCTGAGCGAAGGCAGCTGTTGACGAAGGTCTGTAGTTTGTTCAAAGTGCCCTTCGTGGCGCGGCGACATGTCTCTGATCCCTTTAGTAGCACTGACTGGACATTGTAGTCGAAAATCCGGATCTTATTTTTCATGCTGAGGAGTGGTGTTGACCTCCACACAGACTTTAGAGAAATGAAAGCTTGCCTTTGATATAATTAAAATACTTGGGCACTGTAGTAGAGTATAACTCCGCCTGTAGTTAAAACGATGCTTCCCAAGTGGGTAAACTAGGTTGCTTCTTTCAGATTTTTCGCATTTATGCTGATTGTTATCTGTTGCTGTCGCTGTTGGCCAGGAATCTTCATCACCTTTGTTTTCTCTACGTTCACCTGAAGTCCTATCTTCTCTGGATGCTTCTTCTTCCAAATTGCTGCTTTTCACTTGCATATCTTCCAGTTTGTGGGAAATAAGACATATATCATCGGTGAAGTCCAGATCCTCCAAGTTTTCCTGTGGATCCGTTTTATGCCTGTCTCCTCGTTGGTTGCTGTCTGTCACACTATCCAGTCTACCGCAATCAAAGAAATCATTGGAGATAGTAGGCAGCCTTGTCCTACTCCCGTTTTCACTTCGAATGAATAGTTTCATCTAATTTTCCCTTGTCATTTGTTGGGAAAATTGAAGCTTGAATCCCAAGAGATGTATTCTTTCCCTATCTTAGATTCTCCTGGTGAAATTAATCTGTTCGATATCAGTAACGCTAAAATCATGGCTTACTTTTAATTGTTCGTACCACATTGTATTTGTATAATGATCTGGTGGGTAGCACTTTGGCGCTTGAAGAGATAAGTACTTGATTCGAGTCTCATTGTGAGGACCCACCTGACGCGAGTTTCATCCATCAAAAAAGGTACTACTAGCCACCATTATATTATATAGTCTTGAGTTACTATTCCTGGTAATATCTGGGCAAATATTGAAGGAGCGCCTGTATACCAATATGAGGCTGAATAAATCCCCCCAGATGTATCAAGGCGGAGGTCGTTAGACAAATTGACCACATGGTGATTTATTTTCAAAACCCGAGTACTTGTGGTCAACGACGTCTAATCCTTTAATATCTTCCACTTTCAACAGCTATGTCATAATCCCATTTTATTTCAGAAGATGATAGAATTCACTGAAACTTCAAAGTGACTACATCTCATTTAACCGATTTTTTTATTGAAGGGTTTTTGTTGTTTTCCAAAATGCCTCTTCATTTATGCATACTTTAGTTGTTTCTTTTTTCTTTTTTTAGGTATCGTATACTGTTTCTCTCAAAAAGACACTGAAGATGTTTCTTCAGAGTTAAAGAATCTCGGTTTAAAATCAGCGCCATATCATGCTAATTTAGATTTTAATTATCGGTCAAAAGTTCACTCTGACTGGGTTCAAGGACGAATTCATGTATGTAGTGCATTTAAGTGTATAATTTATTACTGTTATCATTATTCCCTTGCCTAATGAGTAGAATATAAGGCTTACGTAGCACTCTCTTCCTCGAAGTCTTGTTTACCTGGTTCCACACGATTGCCCATAAGCTTTGATTTCCTCCCCTATATCACCCTCCGAGCCACACCCAACTCGTCGTCTCCTATGAGAGTTCCACTCATCAACCTGGCTAGCATATTATGTTACTCGACGGTCACCTCAGCATATGTCTAATCGATCTCCATTTCCTTCTACATGATTATTAGGGGATAGATTGTTAGTCAGTTTGTTGCCGGAGTTCCTTGTTGGCAAATCTTTCTACCGGCTGTTTGATCTTCAAGATCGAGACAGTGGAGGGTGGGCAATTGTTGATGAAAGTGCTCAACACGCTCTTGGAAATGCTTCTGGTTACACGTGTGTGTGTATGTGTGTGAAGTCTCTTAACCACTATAGAAGCAGTGACTGTTGACTCTTATTGTTGGAAATCTCGGTCTTGTTCTTCATGTTGAGTGCAGTAGATTCCCACACTGATGTCAAAGTAATGAAGATGCGTGTGTGTGGCTTCTTCAGTTGTGCCTTTGACATCGTCATCTGCGCCTCTTGTAGATAAAAGGACATTTCTTAAATAAGTAAAAGAGGTGACTTCCTGTAGATTTCTTCTGTTAACACTGATTGATGCGTTTTGTTGTTGTTCGGTGAGGTAACATCATATATATATATATATATATATGTAACCCTCGTTACCCAATGTCTAAGGTAAATTCATTCAAAGTTATATATGAAGTCAAAAGAGGCCTCCGAAAAATGCTATGTTTCCACATACGATGGATTCCTGTGACCTCAGTCATTCTGATGGGAAAACCCTGACTTACGCAAATAAAACACCTCCTCCATCTCCTTTTCTTACTTTGGATATTTGGCTATTAGTATTTTATTGATTTTAGGATAAAACTTGGGCACTGTGGTGGTAGAGTATAACTCCATTATGGATATAATTTCATTTTGATAAAGTTACGCAGTGTTAATACAGTAGTATTTACTGATGACCACGTTTCAAGCACAAATTATCATTGCCACTCATAATCATATCAAGGCACTACTCACACAACTTTCTTGCTTCACTTATATACATGAGTAAAGATTGATGATTAGACATTTGATTGAATAAAATCAGTAATACAAGATAAAGTACATCCAGAAATAGTAATATTAGTGTTATCAGTCAAATACAATCAGATGGGAAATAAGATGTTTTTTATAGTTAAAATAAATAAATAACTTCGTTACATTGTTAAATAAAACGAACAGAAGAAGGTAAACTGCACACTAGCGTTTATAAAAATCCAAACCATTCTAATAAATATTTAGACTTTAATTCATATCATCCGTTAACTGTTAAGATAGGCCTTTTAGGATTCTCAATGAGGCAGGAATTAATGTGGCATTCAAACCTACAAACTCACTCAGACGGAGACAATATCTGTAGGCTAAACGACCCTGTGGACTCAATTAAACAAAATAATATAATTTACAAAATACCTTGCAACGACTGTGAGTTAGATATAAACTACATAGGTCAAACTAGTAGATCAGACAGGAGTAGTGAGATTATCAGAACATAAGAATTTAGCTAAGGCTAGAATGATTGATCCCACGGAGTTAAGTAATTTAGAAAAAAGCTCAGCGATTACACTGTATGCATTCACACACAACCACACAATAGGGTGGGATGGAGTCAGGATTCTAAGAAGTAATATAAGTAGATGAAGAAACAGGTTGATTACTGAATCCTGCCTGGTTCATCGAGTCTACACACCCAACACAAAACATGCAATAGAAGTGACTCAACGCAAATACCAGAGATATGGAAGATATTATTACCACCAATCAGTCAAATCAGAGGAGAATAATAAATAATCTTGAAATTCTATTTCAATTCACCTACATCATAACATTCTAACGAGTTATTTATTTATTTTACTATAAAAGCGTCTTATTTCCCATCTGATTGTATTTTATTAATAACACTAATATTATTTCTGAATGTACTTTATCTTATATTACTGATTTTATTCAAATGTCTAATCATCAATGTTTACTCATGTATATAAATGAAGCAAGAAAGTTGTGTGAGTGGTGCCTTGATATGATTATGAGTGGCAATGATAATTTGTGCTCGAAACGTGGTGTCATCAGTAAATATTACTGTATAACACTGTGTGATTTTATCAAAAGAAAATTTTTATCCATAATGGAGTTATTAATACTTTCTTTTTAATTTTGGCGTGACATTTATGAATGTCATTTTCCTAACTAATCTTTTATTCACTTTGTCCACTTGTTACATAATATTTATTGATATTTTTCTCTATGCTCTTTCATCATCATTAACACCCAACCTTTCTTGACGCCTTTTCATTCTACGTTACTTTTAGAGTGAGTGTAGAATTTGGTCATTTTGGTTGTAGAATGTAATTCCATACTAGATAAGTTTATTTTTAAATATCACGCAGTGATGATGAGCTGAGTATTAACAACTGGATGACAAGATTCCGAGCACAATTTATTGCTGATCATAATCAAATCAGGGTACTCACACACACAGCCTCCAAAGCCTCAGGATGGTCGGGGGTGGGTGCCTTGCGCTGCGGGTTGGCCACCCCTCCGCACACCTCTTGAAATGCTCCCATATGACGGGGCGTCTTACATAGCCTCTCCTGAGGAAGTCCTACTCACTGCCTTCACGTGGTGGAGGTGTTTTTCACCAAAGTGAGAGGGCGAAAGCGGATGCCCGGCGCTCTTCACCGGGTTGACTGTCCATTGGATGACAGTCTAGGGGAGATGGCTAAACCCTGATTCCAAACCTCCAACGACTGGCGTATGAAGCTGACTGGAGCTCACCGGCAGACGTATGGACAAAGGGCTTGTTGGATGTCCTGGATGTCTGGCCCCATTCAAAAAGGCGTATGAATCGAACTCCAGTCACCGGCTGCCAATGGATAGTGGACTCCCTACTCCACTCCTACTGCCTTGTAGGTCACACTTGGTTGTGTAAAGGCTAGAGCTGCACTCTCAAACAAAACGCCGAGCGATTCTGGGGACATCACTCGTACCAAATTCCCATGAAACTTCATGAACTCTTGGGGCTACAAACCGTCTACGGACTCCGTCTGTGGAACAAGAATTGGATAACCCTGTCGCAAAACCTTGCATCAGATCGCCGCACCTGGGCAGCGATGATTCGAGATGTTCATGAAGCCGGCTCATCCTCCCGTAGGAGATAGCCGAAGTAAAGTAAAAGTAAGTACAAGTAAAAATTGATTAGAGACATTTGAATACATCAATAAATGTTCAATCGACATGCGTGAAACACAAAAGAAGATAAAGTACACTCGGAAACAATATTAGTTTTTAATTGGTTGGAGGATTTCATCATGAGCTGACATCAGTTAGAAAACCATTGGAAAACGAGTTGCGAGTACTGGGCAGCCGTTTCGTCCCACTAGTTTGGGACTCTTCATCAGCACTCACCCAGCATCACGGTTCGAACCCAGGATCTTCCGGTTACAAGGATAGCGAGCTTGTAGACCACTAAGTCACTGGGTCCTGATCCAATAACCAGCCCATAAATTCTAACTTCTGCCAGTTCATGACATAGCGCTACCATTTTGCACTATCTTCTTTGATGGGTTCCTTCCTCACCGTAGTGTTGTCAGCAAAATGACGGAATGACGCTACTCGTATACGAGAAATATGGAAAGTGACAACAAACAACAAAGGGAAGTTGAAGAGAAAGAAAGATATTATTACCAGTCAAATCAGAGGAGGATAATAAATAATGTTAAAATGTATTTCAATTCACATTATAACATTCTAACAAGTTATTTATTTACTTATTTTACTATAAAGACATCTCATTTCCCTTCCCATCTGACTGCATTTTATTTACAACATAAATAGTATTATTTCCGAATGTACTTTATCTTCCGTAGTAGATAGATTAACAACACTCGTCTTAATTCTCTCATCACATTGTATTTATTGATAACACTAATATTGTTTCCGAATGTATTTTTATCTTTCTTTCTGTTTCACGCATGTCTTATATTGATTTTATTCTAATGTCTAATCTATTTTTACTCATGTGTATAAACGAATCAAGAAAATTGTCTGAGTAGTGCCTTGATATCATTATGAGCAGTAATTAATTGTGGTTGAAACTTTGTCATCCAGTTGTTAATACTCAGCTCATCATCGCTGCGTTTGATATTTAAAAATAAACATATCTAATATGGGATTGCGTAACTCTTACTTTAAACTTACTAGAGGGTGAATACCCTCTAGTACTTACAATTTGATAAGTTGTCAGAGTTTTAAATTATTTTCATGATGTAAACAGTATTCCAAACTAATTCAGTTTTACAAGCGCCGGTTTGCAGAGATTTGTTTAGTTTACAGGTTTGATCACGAGATGACAGCTGTTTCAGCCTAGTCCCTGGAACTCTTCAACAGTATCCACCCATCGGGATTCGAACCAAACACACTGAACACATAGACTATTCATTCACTGGGACCCTTTTCAATATCCCGTGAATTCCAACTTCTGCTGATTCGCGTTATATCTGGAAGATTCTGAAGTTGAAGCACTGTGGGGGCGTGCTGCTGAAGAATTGCAAACTGGGTCGAAACACTTATCCAGTACATCCTGGTTTCCCAATGGTTCTCAAATTGGAATGTCAGCTCATGGTGAAACCTGTAATTTAGTCCTATTTCTTTTGATGATGGTTGGCAGATTGGATGTACACACACATATTATTATTATTATTTATTGTTCCCTTGGGTTCCTAGTGGAACATAGGGCTTCAACTGCACGCCTCCACTTGTTTCTGTCTTCTGCTGTACTTTTCATCTCCATACATGTTATTCCATACTGCTTCAGCTCCTCTTCACACGATCTCCTCCATGTGACCCTTCAACGTCCCACTCGCCGCTTCTCCTCAGCGGCGGTCTCCTCAGCGAATGTTCAATCCATCTCCACTTTCTCCTGCATATTTGTTGGGCGATTAGTTCTTTTTTTGTTTGTTCCCATAGTTTTTTGTTTGTGATTCTTTCCGGCCATCTGATCTTCAGTGTATAGAACGAAGACAGTTGTTGATAAACGTCTGCAACAGGCTGTTGGAAATATTCTTTGTGACCCGCCAAGTTTCTGATCTATCCGTATAGAAGAGCTGACTAACTTGACGTTTGTATTGAAAATCCGAATTTTGTTGTTGATGCAGGCTGAGTGACGAAGATTTCCAGATTGGTTTCAGGTTGATGAATGTGTTTCTCGCCTTCCCGATTCTCGATTTGACATCCTCGTCCGTTCCTCCTGTAGTTGAGACAGTGCTGCCTAGATGATAAGTGAATGAAGTAACCTCTTTCAAATCCCTCCCGTTGATGGTGATTGGCGCTGCTGTTGTTGTTGTTGTTGGTTGGTTATTTTCATAACACACAGAAAAATGATCACATAGAAATGCGATTGTCCAGCTAGGTGGATGAGTTTTTCCCGAAAGAGTCTATTTGCTGAACTGTTTGTTTATATTCCCCATCGTTAAATTTTCCCACTATACATTTTTTTTGCAATCAACACTCAACTATAGGTGATTGTCGCGACTGTGGCATTCGGTATGGGTATTGATAAATCTGATGTCCGTTTTGTTATCCACTATTCAACCAGTAAAAGTCTGGAGAATTATTATCAAGAATCTGGTAGAGCTGGACGTGATTCACAACCAGCTGATTGTATTTTAATGTGGAGATATGCAGATCTGTTTCGATTGGCCAGTATGGTATCAAGTGAACGTACGGGGATGGAAAAGCTATTTCAAATGATTGAATATTGTATTAATCCGGATAAATGTCGACGTTACTTGCTCTCAAAGCATCTTGGTGATACATCATGGTCTGCTGATGATTGTAAAAATGCATGTGATAATTGTCAACGGAGGAGTGCAGAGAATTCAGGTAAGATGAATTCATTAACTGTTCATTCCTTTGAGTTCCAAGTGGAAGGAACTTCAGCTGTGAAGTTCCAGTAGCAGTAGGGTTTGTTTTTCACTGAGTAGAGTTGCCAGCCTCACATCCCAACTTATTACTTTTTAACAGGTTTAGTACCGGCTAAGTGTGAGGTACAGGAGTCTGTTGATTGGGAATCGAATCCGAACCTATGGCGTGGGGTTGGCGAGCATTCTACCAATTGAACTGCACCGACACACAACTGTTGAATAAATTTTAGCACAACTAGGTTAGGCGTCGAGTGCTAGGTAAGGAGGGGAAATCAAGAGACGAGGCTGTAAACTTACATAGATTGAAATGGTTAGAACATATTTCACGCACGTCTGCCTAGCCATTGCCTTCCTTGACGGGAAATGTTAACTGATATAGGATTGATCAGGTTAGAAAAGAGTTGGTTAGTGGTGGTCAAACCAAAACATGGCATCAGTCAATCAAATGCACAGTAGTTATTTTAAGCCAGACACGTAGGGAGGTGTAGACTTCCTGGTTGGAGTTCTCAGGACGGTAAAAACCAATAAAGTTTGGAGACAATTGGTGATTTGGCTCAAAATAGAGAATAAATCTATGAAAGTATGATCGAACTCTGTCTTATCCCTTGAGCAGGATGTACTCAATAAACGAATGTCATGGCTACTTTTCATCTCTCCGACATATTTGTTGATTATTTGCCTAGACTTTGATTATTGTACTACAAATTCTAGGAGTTAACATCTTTGTACACCTAATAGTTTTCAAATATTGGTTTTTGTAGGGTTGCAGCTTCCACTGGAACCCCAGGTCACTGCCTGAATAGGGCCAGTAGCTGGTGAGCATCAGGGTGCAGCAGGTTGAAGGTGAGGCAGTAACTCATCGAAAAAAACAGTGCGAAGTTGTCGCGCTACGTCATGAATCGGCAGAAGTTAGTATTCATGGGCTGGTCATTGGATTGGCTCCCAGTAGCTTAATTGTGTACGAGCTCACTAGCCTTGTAGCCAGAAGGTCCTTTGTTCGAACCTTGTTGGTGGGTGCGTACTGATGAAGGGTCCCAAACTAGTGAGAAGAAACAGCTTTCCAGCATTCCCTGATGGTTTTCCAATGGTTCTCTAACTGATGTCAGCTCATGATGAAATCCTCCAACATAATAATTTGTTTGAAAAATTTTACATAGCAAATTCCATAATTCAAGGTAGTCGGCAATATTTGTGGACCTTCGTCTCGTGCTAACTGACACATTAGCAAGGTGATATCCTCTAGGAGATTTGAACCTGGATCACATACTGAGCTATAAGGTCCTGCGATTGACCTTCTGTAAAGTTGTTATAGCTATATTGATTTGCCACTGGGGAATTACTAATGTTACGTGTCTACTCCTCTGCGGTTCTGAGTGTAGTATTGAGTGATGCGGTACCAAATCTCAGAGAAGACACGAGTTCCTCCTTCAGTGTTATGGATACACCTTCCTAACTGGTTCCAACTATTACGAAAGCCAATTTCAAGCTTTATGGTTTCCCCAACTTCAAAAAGTGCAGTACAATGGTGAATCTCCTAGATTAGTGACTGAATTGGGAATCAAATAAATAGAATTAAGCAGCACGCACCCACCGGGGTTCGAACTCAGAATCTTCTGGTTACAAGGCGAGCTCGTAGACCATTAAGCCATTTGGACCCGATTCAATGGCCCATGATTTCTAACTGCCAATTCACGAAATAGAGCGACCACTAGCCAATGTCTTCGGCGAGTATTTGTCCTCACACCAAAACTGCTGCACCCTACTGGTCACGACTTCTCACTAGAACCCCAGGTAATTACCTACCTGAATAGGGCAAGTCACTAATGAGCATCTCATCAATATTGGATTCGAACCCCGTTGGATGCCTACTGATGAGGAGTCCCAAACTAGGGCGAAACAGCTGTCCAGTACTCCCAGGTTTTCCAATGGTTCTCTAACCAATGTCAGCTCATGATGAAATCCTGTAACCAATCAACACTGAAATAAATAGAATTCATTCTGCACCACTAAAGATTACACATCCCAGTGACCAATTATTATACATAAGCCTTTGTCATGTAGTTGATGATGGCTAGTAGTGGGGTCAGATACACGCGTTTTGTCCTGTTGCAATTGAATTTACTTTCATCTAAATGAGTGATGGTGTTCCTACTGTGAGACTCAAAGCTAGCACTCATAGTTATGAACGTCAAAGAACACGTCACTAAGGTAGGTATATGAGAGGCACCTGTTGTACAACAGTTATCATTGGTAATTTAGTGACGTTTCCATTTGTTAGTTTGCAGGGAGTTGATTGATTCTGAATTTTGATGATGAACTGACTTCAGTTAGAGAAGCAGCTGCATTGTCTTTCTTTGAAATTGTCTTCATCAATACTCACCCATGACTACCACCACGGGTCGAACCCAGGACCTCCAGATCACAAGACGAGCCCGTTATAACCATTCAAACAATAGGATTGGATCCACTGGCCTCTGAATTCTAACTTCTGGAAATTTGTGATGTACAGCTTGATCGCCGGCTGGTGTGATTGACGCTCATCTGCCCTCATACTGGACTACGCCGGTGGAAACTTCTGACGAGGTCGGTGAGCATGTGTTACTTCTCAGGGATTTGACTGATTTCAAGCTTGATCACGATCTGTGGAATCATGTTGATCTTACTCAACTGAAATACACTTGGCCTCTGTTTTCACAGGATGTTTCGAGGATGTCTTTCTGGTGTTAATCAAATTGATCTTGGCATCATAAGTAGAATCCAGGCCAATCGTATTTTTAATACACACATCGTTACCTCATTTCATTCAAATGTCTTATATGCAAAATTCTTTTGCGTTTCTTTTATTTTTCCCCTTTTTTTAGATAAATCCTACCATCTTGTACAATTAAAAATCACTGAATTATTGGAGGCAACAAAAGAACTACTATACAATCAGAGTTTAACAAAACAAGAAAGAATCACAGGTTTAAAGCTAGTTGATTTAATGACGAATAATAATAAGAAAATACATTCAATCAGTGAAAAATTATTAAATAATGCTGTTACTACTATTACTACTGTTAGTAGTAATAAAGTAGTGGTAGTTAAACCGGAACGTGAATTCTACGAGCATTTCATTTCATGGTGTTTAATTAAACAATATTTAAAATTAGATTTCCACTTTACACCCTATTCAACAGTTTGTTATGTTGTTGTCAATGATGACCACGTCACAGAAGGTGGTGGTGATGATGGGGATGATGATGATGACGCGACAGTAATGCCATATTTATTATCACTAGCAGGGGAGAAACAAGTCGTCGAGAAATGTCATGTGTCGCCAGCGCCGGCGCCGCCGCCAGAGAAACGACAACGAATAGATTTAACAGACAGTGATTGACCTCTTCAGCTGATATTTGTTTTGATTGTTTGGTTTCTGCAACTTTGTTTGTGATTGGTTGGTTCTGTTGTCTTGTTTATTGCTTATATCATAACCTATTTTGTGCATTTCATTATATAAATTTTTCAGTATATAATATAATATACGCTGTGATAAAACCTCTCCTAAAGATAACAGAGTTGATGGGCTATATATTGATGAGTAAGGTTGATTCTTGTTCGTGGCGAGAGTTTAGTGTGGAATTATTATTATTATTATTGTTTCATTTAATTCTTAAAGGAACATAGGGCTTCAGCCGTGCGTTTCCATTGCGTTTGGTTCTCTGCTAGAGACTTCACGTGGCTCCAAGTCTGCTCACACGTTTTCTTCTCCTCTTCACATGACCTCCTCCAAGTCACCCTTGTACTGACGACCAACTCGCCGCTTCCCATTTGATCGGGTTCCACTCGAGGGCTTGTCTAGTGATGTCAGGTGATGGTTTCCTCAGAGTATGGCCAATCCACCTCCATTTCTTCCTGCTAATTTGTTTCACATTCGGTTCCTGGTTGCTTCGCTCCCAGAGATCTCTGTTGCTGATCTTTTCTGGCCGGCCATCTGATCTTGAGTATTGAGCGATGACAACTGTTAATGAAGGTCTGTAGTTTGTTTCAGATGGTCTTTATGACGCGCAGTGCAAGTCTCTGATCTGTATATTGAGTAGCACTCACTTCACATTGGAGTTGAAAATCCAGATCTTATTTTTGATGCTGCGTGCTGTTGACCTCCAAACAGACTTGAGAGTAGTGAAAGCTTCTCCTGCTTTCCTTGCTTTGATATCCTCGTCAGTTCCGTCCGCCTGTAGTTGAAACGACGCTTCCCAGGTAGGTAGGTAAAAGAGGTTGTTTCTTTCAGGTTCCTTCCATTTATGCTGATCGTTGTTGTTGTTCTTGTCCAGGAATCTTCATTATCTCTGTTTTCTCTATGTCCACCTGAAGTCCTATCTTTGATGCTTCTTCTGCCAACTTGTTGCTTTTCGCTTGCATATCTTCCAGTTTGTGAGAAATCAGACATATATCATCAGCGAAGTCGAGATCCTCCACGTTTTTTGTGTGAGTCCATTTAATGCCTGTTTCCTCATTGCCCACCACTGTTTGTCGCATTATCCACTCTACTGCAATCAGGAAAATCATTGGTGATAGTAGGCAGCCTTGTCTTACTCCTGTCCTCACTTCGAAGGATTCTGTAAGTTTCCCGTTGTGGATTACTTGGCATGCAGCATTGTCGTACAGCTGTTAGATGAGATGTATAATTGTCGGCGACACCCCGTTGTAGTAGCAAAGTAGTTGCCAAATCACCCTGAATTAGAATCAGCTTCAGTTTAGGGAACAAGTTAATGTTTATATACAGATTTTCGAATATATTTATAAGCTCTTTCCTGACGTTCTTCTCTACACGCAATGTCGGCGCTAAATTCAGTATGGCTGAATTTCCATATTTAACCGAATAAGCATCAATTCTTGTGAAATTCCCTCTGGGGAGATACAAAGAGAAACTTCCGAATAACGAGGATTTTTATTATTTGACGAAATGACTTTAGCAACCACTTTGCTGAAATTAAAACGCCTATCAACAATAATGCAAGTTAGTTACGTCAAAGGTAAATCACTGATTCTGTCTACAGCCTTCTAAGTCTGTTTTGAGAATCCGAGGGAAGATTGAGGAGGAACAATAAAAGCGCCTTGGCTGAATTCATTAATTACTAAATTGTAACAGAAGAGACTGAAGCGAGCCAAAAAGTCTCGACTCCCTTTTGTAGTAGGCAAACAAAAGGCGTTTTTTAGAAATTAGTAATACATGGGATGGCCAAGAAAGATTACGAGGGAAATAGATACCAAGATAGGTGGTATTTGATTTAACTGGTGGATGGTGACTAGCAGTGGAATCCAAGATAGCGCGCATTTCGTCCTATTTGGGACTCGTCACTGGGTGTACCTGCATTCCCCAGTGAGTGATGACGCCCCCACCGAGGCTCGAACCCAGTGCTCATAGTTTCAAACTCCAAGGCATTATCCACCAGACCACTTGGGCCACGAGAGCCACCTCTTGTGCAGCGGGTCATAATAATTATTCAACTGAATTTTAGATTTTCCCACCGATTGGTTAGACCGAGGTGCTCGGTCTCAGGTTGACACGTCGCCTTTTTGTGCAGATGCTTCGACGAAATGCGCATCCTGCATTCCACTGCTAGTCACCATTGACCAATTAACTTCTAAATGCATGCCCAGACATCGTCGAAGCATCTGCACCAGAAGCCGATATGTCAACCTGAGACCGAGCACTTCAGTCCAATCAATTGACGGGGAAATCTAAAATTCACTTAAATAATATTTGATTTATTTCCATCAATATCAGAAGAATCATGCAACTGAATCTGTCTACGCATGTCTTGTTCATACCTGAAATGAAAATTAACGATCAGACATTTAGAGAGATTCAGTTTAAGCCTATTTGAATGAGACTACTGGTTAACCTCAGGTAGGAAACTATTCCTATGAGAACAAGGGAGTACAGAAACAACTGGGAAAGAAATCGTCAGACCAGCTGTGAATTTTAGAAGAATATTGTAAGTCATGCAGAACGAGAATGTACAGTACATTGTCAACATTTGGACTCTCCAACAATACTTATCCGTGTCCCTACCAGGAGTCGAACTGTGGACTGAGTGAACTGAAAGTATTTACCAAATCTAGTTATATGGTCGAATTGCTAAAAATTTATTAGGAGTGTAACAACAGAAGACAAAGACCAGGCAACAGATCGTTTATTAAGGAAATCAAAGCATATTTATATATTTTCATGTACATTATTATTTGGTTAGTTAAGCAAACAATCACAGTCTTCTGATTGGTTGTTTCTCACTGAAAGTTAATCTTCTCTTTGTGACTGTTTCTTGAGTGTCAGATCATCTATATGTTAACTGTATCCGCCTACGCAAAGTCTGCTGTGGTCGGTTCTGAATCAGTCTTTGTTCATATTTTCTCACGACAAATCTTGAGAACGTAAACATTGACGTAAATTACTGTCTACCAATTTGGCTAGTAGACAGCTCTCACCACAAGAGTACTACCATTAACCTTTTACCTTAAACTAGAAAAGTCACTTAGATTGCTGATATGTATTTCCCTGCCATATATAGATGGTTTTGATTATGTGACTGAAACATAGTCTTCACTAGTACGTCGATGAACTTTTCTGATATGACTAATAAATACTGAGTAGTAGTATATACCATTTAGGTTTGCTATGTATTATTCCTAATTTTCCTATAATTAACTTATTTGGTGGTAGCTTTTAGTGAAATTCGAAATACGCTTGTCATTCAGATGTGTACCCACACCCCAGTAAGCGTGGTGATATTTCCTTTGGTATAATGAAATAAGAGATGAATTACCTGTGATCTTTCACCTCTTGAATATTTACTAATTGATAGAAATGATCTTCAAATCGTAGAAGAAAAAATATAAAAAACTTATTCTTTGCTGGAATGGAAGCGACAAAATAAACAATGAGAAAAATGCAGTCCTGAGTATATACTTTATCCTAATGTGGACTTCTTCAATCAGTGTGCACGCACTCTCTTACAAATTGAACTCGGAATCTTAATAATAGAAATATTTAAGAATTAGTTTGTAGGGATTCTATTTGTTTCAGGTTAAACCACAGATTGATATCAGTTAGAGAACCAGGGAATACTGGATAGTTGTTTCATCCCATTTTGAGACTTATTGACAGAACGCATCCACTGGGTTTCGAACCCAGGACCTTCTGGTTACAAGACAAGCTCGTGACGATTGAGGTCCATCCAGGCCGGAATGAGGATGTATTTCCCGTGGATAACATCGGTTGGTGGTCGCGCCAAAATGAAGAATTGATAGAAGTTAGAATCTACGGGCTGGTCATTGAATCGGGTCCCATTGATTGAATGGTATACTAGCTTGCCTTGTAACCGGACGGTCCTGAATCCGAAATCCAATGGATGCGTACTGTGATGAGTCCCAAATTAGGGCGAAATAACTGTCCAGTATTCATTACCTGGTTCTGAATAGTTCCCTAAGTGATATTAAACCGTAGTGTAGCCTGACACAAATAGTAATGTTGATATAAAGTAGTTTAGCTAAAGCCGAAGGCTTAATAAACCTGTATTTTAGTAAACATAAGTGGTTTAAACTGTAAGATGATGTTTTCTGAACTAAACTGATTTGTGTTACCAATATGCAGCGCATGACGCATTGTTACTCAACTGAAGTTTAATATAACACCTTGTTGATGTTGATCTTAAGCCTTTTATCCTTGAGATGACTCATCAGTTCCAGGGATGTATGCGGTGTGAGAAAATGAAGGCAGCTTTAGTTGAACAGCCGTCCGTCTCGTCGTTGCCCACCCACCTTCCACACCATGGCCTGGCATGTAACGTCACTAAACGGTCACTTCAGCCTATGACTAAGTCATCTCCATTTCCTCCTGCATATTTGTTGGTCAATAGCTTCTCGATTGGTACGTTTGCAGAGTTCCTTGTTGCTTATCCTTTTCAACCGGTCATCTGATCTTCATTATGGAGCGAAGGTGGCTGTTGATTAAAGTGTACATCAGCTTGCTAGAAATGCTTTGCCTGAAGGTATCGAGTCTCTGAACCTTACAGAGACATCTAATGACTGAGCATCAGTGTGAGGTCTGTATTTGTTTCTTACAATGAGTGCAGGAGATTTTCATAGTGATGACGATCTCTCTTCTTTTAATGATACTGGCTGGCTTTCACGTCATCATTTATACCGCCTGTAGTTGAGACAATTCTGCTTCATTCAGAACTGAATATCTGGCAAAGTAATTTTCAGTAATATCAATATCTCTAGAGTATATTCAGACAAAGAATAATTTGAGCAAACATTTGCTTTGAAGAAGTCTTTCTTCTCTAGGCTTTACAGTTATCCATCCATGAACGTTAGTCAAATACAAATAGCCAATAAAGACAGATAAAGATTATATCAGAAAGTGTAATGAGGTACAAACAGGAGATGGATTTAAACAGTTCGTTAGTTGTTTTAGTAAATTAAATACACGTACAATCAGATTAAACAATTTATTGATATGCTTGTGTATTACATGGTTGGAGGCAGTCGACAGGAAGAC